CAGAGTAAGAGAAAAGCTGTTTTTCTCACACATGTGGGAGTAAACATTAGAAAGTAAAATGCCTACTTCATCAACAAACTCATCTGCCATTCAGGCAGACTCGTGGGTGTGCAGACACAGTGTAGGTGCACAGTTTGTGCTGACTGGGAGTGGGGCTGGGGCTGAACCTCATCCCCAATGGGCACAGCTTTGAGCAGCAGGTGAGCAGCACTGACCAATGAGCCATGGAGTGCCCAGGGGCACTGAGCAACCACCAAAGGGAGCAGAGGGCACACAGGTGCAGGGAATCAACAGGAGGGGATAAAAGGCTGGGCTGAAGAACAAGAAGGGCAGATGCTTGAAGCCTCCTGAAGAGGTAAGGTGTTACTTTGTGTGGGCTGAAGCTTGCTGAAATTGTGTGGGGATACTCTGTGTATTGTGCTGTCTCAAACATGATATGTGCTGCAACAGGACAGCACGCTGGTCTGTGAAAACTCTTCTCAAAGAACTGAAAAGCAATTAGGCTTAGGTTAATTTGCTTGAAACTAGAGTGAAATCAGAGTTGGATCTGAGGTCTTCACTGTAACCTAGGCAGCATACAAGCAGTATCATCATTTTTCACTCTCTGATTGTGTGGTGATGAAGTCTTAAAAGCAATGCTCTTTACTCTGGCTGTCAGGATTGTGGCATGCTGTTCTGCCTTCTGTTTGTAAGGATGAAGGATCACCCTTGGCATTGCCACTTTGAATGCTTAGGAAAGCAGTTCAAAACCTATCAGCATTAGCTACAGCAAAATGAACTTTCATTACTGGGCCTAAGAAACCTACAGAGAAGTCTGATGCAGTGAGAGACATAGAAAAAACATGGAGCTCACCTGCTGCTTACTGCAGTGATTTATTATGGCATTTACTCCTTCAATCACAAGTGCTGAGTCTGATCCTTCAGGGTCTATGATACTTCTCAAGGCCAGAGCAAGAGCACTGTTAGAAGGATCTGCAATTATACTTGGACTGTCCAGCATCTTTGTCTGCTTATCAAGGTGCACAGCTTGCATGGACCTGTTCAGAGGAAAATGCACTGTGAGCAGATAATCAGTGAAGGACTGGTGATGGTGAGGGATGCAAGACACAAAGCTCAGTGTTGGATTGAATGTGCTTCATACAGTCAGTTTCAATGTTTTGTCATCATGTGCTTTGTGTAGGATAGACATTTAAACAAACAAAACATCAAGCTTATACATAAGTTTATCCCTTGTGTAGATAAGGGATACACAAGGAGAGAGCTTGCATTATACATATCAATACCTTTCATCTTGCAGATTTCAATGTGCATTTAAAGCTGCACACTGGTGTGCTTTGCCCCTAATGGACTGAAACACAAATTCATGGTAACTGAAACACAACAAACAAGGAAAGGAACAGCTTTGATCAGGCTGAGCTTACTTGGTAACACCTCTTGTCAGGCCAACATTACAAGCACGTTTTCCTTTGAGACTGTTGATTATGCTGCTCTTTCCCACGTTAGGGAAACCTGAGGAAAAATCACATAAATCCTTGTAAGTTAAATCAGAAAACAGCTTTTTAACACCCATCAAAACAGCTTCTACCAGTTATCTTTGCTAAGGTAAGCATCAGTGTGAGATCAGAGTTGGATCTGAAGTCTTCACAGAAATAAGACAAAGAATGTATCCTCATTTCTCACACTTGCAGGATTTGTAGTGCTGCATTCCATGGGATTTTTGTCAGGCATGAGGCAGGCAGTGCCAGTGGAGCACATATCCTGCCTTCTTTGGGCTCCCACAGATCTCTGTGGAAGTGCACCATGGATCCCTGGCAGCTGAAGCACTACAACACTGGGAGCCTTAGATCAAAGAACAAAGCCTGGAAAGCTCACTAGCAAACCAGGTGTTAGCAGTTTTACCCAGTCCTGTAGTATAGGATCCCAAAGCTTTATGGGAGAAGAAAACTCCTCCTGTTTCTCCAAACACTTACCTACCACCCCAACCTGAATGGCTCTGTCTTGGGTCTTGCCATACCCTTGGAGAAGCTTCAAAAGGCATTTGCTTCCAAAATACTGAGAGGTTTCTGAGAAATCAACACGTGCATGTCTTTTTGTGACCTGTTCCTGCTACAGGAGTCAAAGGCAAAAAAACCCCATGGTCAGGAGCTATTAAGGGAGATAAAATATGGACACAGATTTATTCATCTACTGTAACTGCAGTGGTAAGAATTCCCCCACTGTACTGCAAAGCTCAGTCAAAGTGTAAAGGCACATCCATCAGTCCCAGAAGTGCAATCAAACCAGGGGAAAAGGAATTTTAAAGATGTTTTAACATGTATGACTGCAAACACATAACCTCTTCATGGGACAGCCTGCAGTGCTCTTACCATAGTCTTGTCCTTCATCATTGTTGCTGACTTAAAAGCAACAGTTGGAAACTCTTCCTTCAAATAATTCAACCATTTCTCTACGTTGTCCTTTGGCACTAAATCTGGAAAGAAGAGCAGTTCTTTCACTCCTTAAATTAACCTTATCATGACAAATACCCTGAGAACTCTAATATAAAGGACTGAGTGCATTCCCCAAAGGCCCACAGGGTCTCTGCCTTAGCAGAGCACATCACAATTACATTTCTGGCCTCTGTATTAGGTTTTTAATGCTGGGGTCTTGCTAGAAGATTTGTATGGTACAGAATGATCTTCTGTGAAGGATTACCCCACAGTCCTTGCAAAGGCTACTTTACCACAAAGTTCCCTTTGCTCTTGTTGTTGCTCTTGGTATTTTATTTTCTTTACTTAACTGCTGGTACTTGGTAATTTGCAGCCTTTTTAGTGAGCTCAGAGTTGGATCTCATGTCTTCAATGAAATGTCAGATTCCTTTAAAATCTTCATAGCTCACCTACCAAAGAACCACAGTGCCAATAACACTGTGACAAAACCTGTGTTTCTTACCAATTTTGTTCAGAACCAAGAGCAGCTTTTTGTTCCCTCCAGAGGAAGTGACAGCTTGCTCCAGCTGAGGACACCTGCAGCCCATTGGATCTCTGGCATCCAAAACCTCCAGAACCACATCTGAGGCCTCAAGTACCTGGGTCAGAAAAAAGACAAGACTTAAACACGACATCACAGACCAGATGACAATTCTGGTATAGCTGTGGCTTAGAAAAATACTTTAGTGTTCTAGTTTCTCACAGACAAACTTTGTGTTCTAAACAGTAACACAAAAAAGGGAAAATAACATGTGGTCTTATTGCTGACTCTCATATAGTGATATAAAAATAGTTGAAGCCTTTCACCTTCGTGAGCTCCCTGCAGAATGATTTCTTAGAATTTTTATTCAGTGGTTTTTTAGTCTTTCCTTTGGATTTGCCAGAGGATTCCTAAAGCAAATAAAAACAAAAGGAAATTATTTAAATGAGAATTAGTGCCTAATATTTGTATGTACATTCAGCATGAAATTGTAACATGCTGCTTAAGAAGGTTCAGTTTCAGAATGACTTCTACAGGTTCAAGAAATCAAAATGATAGAGGAAAGGACTCCTACCTGTCCCTCTGCTTTCTCCTTGACTGTGGCTGCATTCTTTTTAGCTTCCAGCTTCCTCTTCTTTTCATGTTCTTTCTGTCTGTTGAGCTTCTGCTTTTGTTTCAGTTCTTCCAGCTGATTGCAAGCAAAACCCCAGGCCAGATAAGACATCTTTGAAAGTGGTAAGGAAGAATGTTCTTTCTCCCCATTCCTCACCCAAGCTCCTGAGCCAGCTCAGTTAGAAGTCCTGGCTATCCAGGACTCTGGGAACTCTTTTTTTTTTTTTTTCATCCTACCCAGAGGCAGCCATGCATTAGCTTGATCCCAAAAGAGCAGCTCTGCAGCCACCCCTACAGCTGACAAATGTCACATTAGTCCACCCTGCAGACAGTAGATTCCTATTTTCTGTATAATCCCATAATGCCATGATTTAACTCCCAGCACTCCAATGGGACATTTCTGTATCCCAGCACCACAGGGAATTTTGACTGCATTAAAAATGACCCTTCCAGCGTGTTCCCGTGCACAGTGAGGAAACAAAAGTTAAAAATAAAGAGCAAATCATTATTTGATTTGCTCATATTTCCAGCGTTGCACACTGTACAATGCTGGAAATAAATACATCGTTTTTCCAAAGCACGAGTCTGCTGGGACCGTCTACCATGACCGTTCCTCTGAGTGCTCACTTATGCACACAAAGCTTCCATAAAGAGAGGGATGGTTTTTGCCCTCTCGGTTTTTGCCCTCGTTACCACAAACTGTGTTTTACCCTCTGCTTTCTCTGCTCCGCTTCCCGCAGAAGCTCCTCCTTAAACGGCGCCGCACTGGGAATTCCGGGATCCTTCTTGGGTTTTTTGTGTCCGCGTTTCTTGGCCTCTTTCCGGACTTTCCGGTGGTGTTCTCTGATCTGAAGCGGGCACAAGAAATCTCCTCAGTCCAAGGCCCGGAACCGCAGCGCGGCGGCCCCGGGACGGCCAAACGCGGCACCGGGGCCGGGCCTCACCTTCTTCTGGATCTTGTAGCGCTTGTGGCAGCTCAGCCTCTTGCTCGCCTTCCGCAGCTCTGCAAGGCACCGCGCCCATCAGCGCCGTGCACCGACACGCACATCCCCGCCACCGAGCTCCCGCCGCCGCTCCCCCGAGCCCCAGCCCCCGATTCCTGCCCCCTCGATCGCCGCCGCTCGCTTGGCCGGGGGGGGCCGCCACCCCCCGGTGCTGGGCCGCCTCCCGCGCCCATCCTGGCCCCTTCTGTCCCGTCCCCGCCCGTCCCGTCCCGTCCCGGAGCCGCTCCCGGCGCTTCTCCCGGCGCTCACTCGGTCGCTTCATGGCGGCGCCACGTGCTCCCGCCGGCGGGCGCTGCCGTAAAGCGCGCCGGCGCTGCCCCGCCGGGGTGTCGCGCGGGCTCGGCGCGTTGGGCGGCCGGGCGCGCTTTGCGACGGCGGCGGCGGCGGCGGCGGCGGCACCGGTGGTGTCGGGACGGGCGGTACCGGCGGGACGGGACGGGCCGGGCCGGGCGGACCCCGCGCACCCACCCCGGGTCGGCCGCGGCTGCGGGAGGCGGAGCGGAGCCGGCGGGGTGAGCGGCGCGGGCGGGGCGCGGGCCGGAGCTTGGAGGCCGCTGCCTCCCTTTGTGTGGCGGCGCCGCCCGAGCGCGCAGCGGCCGCGCCGGGCCCGGGGCGCCGAGCGCCGCCCGCCCCTGTCACCCGCCCCGGGCCCGGGCCGTGTCGCCGGGCCGGGTGCGCCTCAGCGCTTCCTTCCCGCCGCGTTCCCGCCGTGTTCCCCGTGCCGGCGCCGGGCCGGGCCCGCGGGGTGACAACGGCGGCTCCCGGGGCGGGCCCGGGCACAGCGGCGGGTCCTGCCCGCGGTGGCGGCAGCGCGGGGCGGGCCCGGGACACGGTCCGGAGCCGGGAAAGGGCTTCCCTTTGTTTCCTGCCGGGGATAACCCCTGAGCTCCCGGGCTGGGGCTCCGCCGCCTCGGGGCAATCACATATTCGGTGTCTTTGTTCCTTGTCCCGGTGTGGATAAAGCCGTGGCTGTGTTGTCCCTCTCGCTTTTCCCCAGCTTTGCCCTTTCACCGTGCCTGGTCGCTGCCAGCCCCCTCTTCCCATCCCGTGGCAGCTTTCTGTGCGATCGGTAACCGGGGGAGATTCCGGCTGCGTTTCCCTCCCCTGTTCCCTTGGCTAAATTTACCGTGTTTCGTGTTTCTGGTGAAACGTGGGAGATCCTGATGGCAATACATACTACCCGTGGTATCTATTGGTTTTTAGCTCTCTGCCAGGAGGCAGAAAATGAACCTCTAGAGTGCTAGGATGTTTTATTTTAAGTGTGAGATGTCCGACGTGTGTAAAACCTGTTGGTGTGGAGAGATTGGAGTGACACTTGTGGTCCTCCTGTACAGCTTTTGAGAGAGACAGCCTTCCTTTCCCCGTTGTGCATATCAGTGTACCTGTGAATTAGTAATTTCTTGCTGTGGTTTTGTGACATTTTTCTGGCTAGTGAGGCAATTACCGAGGAGATGCTCAAGCTCCTGTTGCATTGGAGGTGCTCATTGATAGCAGTGGAGATTGTTGGTGTGACTGTTGTGAGCCAGCAGTGCAATTGCAGAAGCTCAGGGAGAGAGTGTCTGCAGTACAACTGTGTTTCTGTGCACAGCTGAGCTCTCTGTGCTTGGGAGTGTGGCAGTTTAGGGAGAAGTTTGTGTTTTGGAGCCTCACCTTCAGTGAGTGTTACATCAGCAGGTCTCTCACTGAGTGTTTGTGATGTTGTCCAGATAGATCAGTGTTTTGCCTGGTTATTAGAAGAGAAAAACCTCGGTGTTTTGGAGGCTGTGTGTGAGTGGTGAGGGTACCTTGACACAGCCGTGTCAGAGTATGGCTGAGAGCCACAGCATTGTGCCTGGAACAGTGGACATCAGCAGCTGATGTGCAGCCTGCAGGCAGGTGCTGGCAGGGAGATTCCCAGATCTTTATTTCAGGATGGGACTGGACTGAGTGTACTCTTGGGTTCCCGGTTGAAGCAGAATTATTGATTCTGGTAGTCCCTCCTGCCTTTCTTCCACAACCCAGGGCTTGTGTTTCCCAGCATGTGCCTGGTGCAGCCTCTCCAGACTGTAGCCCTCAGATGGAAGTTGGAGGCAGTGCCAAGGCTTGAGGCTGTTGTCAGTTCCCAAAATGAATTGCCTGCTGATAAACCACAGGGCTTCTCTGCATGTCCGTGTTATGAAAATGTCCAGAGTGCTGAACAGGAAGAGAACCTCTCTGGGGTTTGATTGAAGGCAGGAGTTGGAAGAACTACAGAGAAGCAAACATTTTGCCATAAAATGGTTCTGTATATTTCACATGGAATTTCTGTGAAAATAATCAGGCTTGGAGACTGCATAGAAATTGAAATTGTTTTTTTTAGTGTATGGCTGCATATTTACTGCTTACTGAAGAGTGTTGAAGGTGCATCTTCTTAGAGTTTATTAAGTGTTTGTTGACCTTAAGATTATATTGTTATAAGCACTTTTCTGCTTTGCATTCTGTAACTTACAGCTTTCTGGTTTGTACTCTCAGATCAGGTATCACTTCTGTTTACTTTCTACTCTGCTTGATGAATCATTCTCTAGCAAGTGGCTGTGAAATCTGTAATGCATATTCAGGAACATTAGAGAAATGTATTTTTACTGTGACAATGACAGAAGTGTCTAGCATTCTGTGTACAAAATTACTTTGTAGAGTTTCTGCTGGGCTAAAAAAAGTTGCCTTCTGTTTCTTGCTTTTTTTCTCTGTCACTGTAATTATCCACTTTATTCTTTGATTTTATTCTTTATCTACCTACTCTGAATTTTCTTTCCTCTCTCTTTCCTTTTTCTTGTCTTCCAGTTGTGGCTGTACTAACACCATTTCTGGTTTGGCACTCTTAGAGTGTCCCTTTCTCACAGTATCTGTGCTTGCCCATCCGACACTATGAGGAGATTGGCTTTTCGAGGTGCTGGTTCTACTCTGGTAAATCTGGTAAATTATTGATTGTGTCTCCATCCCTTTGCCTTGGCCTTTTGCTTTTCTTTTTCCTAACTGTTAATTATTCCTACCTTATTCATCTCACTGTGTGCCTGCAGTTATCTCTGTCTCTAACAAAAATGCTTTAATTCAGTTACATTGTGCTGCCATACCTTGTCAATCATCTGAGTGCCTCCTAAAAGAGATCCCTGGGCTTGGTTGGAAAAAAGGGATAGGGATGGATGCATCTGTTCTGTCCTCAGCCTTTGAGATGGCCCCAAATAAAGATACTTTTCTGATGCTGTCACTGGAAGTTGGGAAAGAGCCAACAACTTGTTCCATAAATTACCATAGTTGTTGGATGGTGGTTATTCATTTGTCACTGCTTGTGTTGGTAAATGCAAAACTCTGGCCAAAAGAGGAGGGGGCTTTCCCTGCTTCTCCATGGTTGAGCCATTCATCCCACACAGAAATGGGAGTGGGAGGTCCCATGGTGATCCAGACCTTCTTTTCACTTTAATGTAACACAAGGTATTCTCTGGCCCTTTTCATTTGTAATTTGTTTTGGTTGGTTGTTTTTTTTCTTTGTTGGTCTGTTTTTTGTGTTTTTTTAGTTTGACATGGAATGAAGAGTTTTTACACAGTGGTTTTTGCTTAGTTGTTGTGCATGTGATGGGGTATGAAAATGTGGAGTTTAGAATATATTCTGTGAAGAGTTGCCAATTCAACGTGAGCCTGGGGGTTTCTGGCCTTGCTGTCATTGGTGACTATAAAACTGTAGGAGCATTTTGATTTCTCTTTACCATTGGGAATTTCCTCCAAGTTGGAGTTTACAGAAATAGCATTTGGCAAATGTATCACGAGAAGCTTTGCTAGCTCTGTGGGTAGCTCTGAGCAGAGGGTTTGGATGCAATGCCAGGGCTTTCAGAAGGTTTCTGTTCATTATAGAAGAAGTTGGATTCCATGGGTTCCAAGAGGCGAAGAGCTACCTCTCCTTCCAGCAGCGTCAGCGGCGGCGACTTTGATGACGCCCATCACTCCACCAATGTTCCAGGCCCCAGCAGGAAGAGGAGGAGACTTTCCAACCTCCCAACTGTAGATCCTGTTAGTACCTTCTTACTGATGACACCTTTTTTCTTGGGGATGCTGTATCCCTGTGTGGGATGTGCTGGACTGTAAAATTAATGACCATATGTAGCACATGTGCACTGGTCCTGAATCTGTTCCTGCCTTGGCTGAGCTCTGTTTAGGACCTGGTTCAGCTTTGGCTTGGCTTGGTCCTGGCTCACCACTTTCATGTTTTTCTTTGCTGTTTTGTTTTTGCTGCTTTTCTCTTTTAGGTGACAATTTTAGCAGATGGAAGGATGTTGAAGAATGAGCTGAAATCATAATGTGCAGAAGTAGAGAGCTTTGTCTGCATAGCAAATGCAGAGGGATGAGTGGGGAATAGCACAGGCAGTGATTGCTGAAGTGTACAATGCCTCTGCTGTGCCTTTGCATGAGCAGTCTAATGTTAATTAACTGCAAAAGAACCCCTGTTGTTATTGTAGATGCCTGGAACCTGGAGAGAATTGCAGTGAATTAATTTACATGTTGGGTATTTTACTTAGAATTAGTATTGAAATAAAGCTTCTTGTGTTCAAAAAATAAATGGAGATCCTGCAGTACCTGGCACACTTGTCAGGTATCCTGCTAAAGTGTGAGGTGCTCCAGGTACTTCTCACTTCTGCTTTAGAGCATGCTGTGGATTGGCAGCTTGTCCTTCCCTTTGTAAGCATGCTTTTGTTTGTTATCTCCTTAAAATTCTCTCCCTTTTCCTTATTTCATTGTTCTTGCCTTTCAGATTGCTGTCTGCCATGAGCTCTACAACACTATCAGAGACTACAAAGATGAGCAGGGCAGGCTCCTCTGTGAGCTCTTCATCAGGGCACCCAAGAGAAGGTGAGGCCACAGGTCTGGTTAAACCTTGAACCTGAGATTTAATCAGGGGCAAGTGGAAATTGATAAATACTTCAGCAATAATTTGTGAAAAATCTAAGCTACATTTGTCATCATTTCACATCAGTGTTTGATTTAATTATTCAGTAGGATGTGCTTACATTGGTGCTCTTTTTCAGGAAAAAAAAAGGATACACTGAATTAATTTGTATTACCTGCTTAAAACATCCATGCCTTTGATTATAAGATATTCTATATAAGTGGTGGGATGTAATACTAAGGACACAGCTTTGGAGAGGGTTAATAGAAGTGACCCTTGCAAATGCAGTAGCTAAGTAAAAGGCTGAATTTTCTCTTAAACTCAGAAAATTGAGGACAGTAACAGAACATGAAGTGAGCTGATTGATAGAGCACTGCCCACATCTTTTAGCTGTAACAGAAATGTATTGGAACTTTGGTTTATTTAGTCATAAACATGCACAAGCTTTAGGGCTGTGGTTTGGGTTTTACTGCTTGGAACATGATGCCTGTTTTTGTCATTGCAACAGAAATCAGCCAGATTATTATGAAGTGGTTTCTCAGCCAATTGATTTAATGAAAATCCAACAAAAGCTGAAGATGGAGGAATATGATGATGTGAATGTGCTGACTGCTGATTTCCAGCTTCTCTTTAACAATGCAAAGGCTTACTATAAGGTGAGCAAACTAAAGGCTCAAATCCATTGTAAAAGGAGTAGACATGTTCAAATTCTGCCTTGGTTTGGCTAAAACCTCTTCAGTTTAGGCTGAAGTATTATTGTTAAGAAAACAGCACATATTGCAGTTATTTGCATAAATTTCCATAATGTTGACTGTATCTTTCTAAAATGCCCTGCTATAACAATTTTTCTGTGGAAAATCATAAAATAAAGTGAGGATGATCTTCATGTAGTTTTCCAAAAGAGGTTAAAAGCAAAAATGGAGATATAAACTGAGAAAAATATTCCTCTGTCAAAGCCTCCATTTTACAACGTCCTCTGTGTTTACAACACCTTCTCCACCTTTGAAATGGAGAAAGATTTCTTTTTTTTTTCCTCCCAGAAGGAAAAGTTTATGCTCACAGCAAGCTTATGATAGGAGTGTTGAATCTTTCTCTTCCATTTCCACTTAATAAAATAAAAAAAAGGCACAATGACTGTCATGGTCAGTGATGATAGATGTGAATGTAATGTCATCAAGACAACCCCCATGGCAATTCCCCCAAACTGGGTGTGTGTTTTATTATGGATACTAATGGGTTTTATTGCAGTTTTCATAAGGAAGTGGGGGGAAAATTGGATTAATATTGTTTAATGTTTCACTCCATAAGCCAGTGAAGTTGTATGTGGTGAATGAGATGATACAGCAAATCTAAACCTGCTAATATTGCCTTTCACATATCTTTGACTTTGGAGATGATCCAAATGAGTTCCTTCTGAATAACCCAGCTGGGGTAGCCAGGTGACATCCAGAAAGGCAGTGTTTGTTTCACTTGTGTGTGTGTGTAGTAGCTTCTCAAAAACAGATTTGTGGCTTAATGCATTTCTACATTCTGCTTCCAGGAGGAAAAGAACAAATATTTCCAAATCCATTTTGTACTCCTGGAGCTTTGCAAGGCACTCAGTGTGAAAACCCCAACATTATTGGGTTGGTGGCAGAAGAAAATGACTGGGGTTTTACAGAATGTGTGCTGCCTTTGCCTATAGAATTGTGGGCTCAAAATTTAACTGTTTCATAGAGATCTCACATTAGATTAAAAATAGGTATCCATTATTGCAGGATGAAGGAATGTTGGCATTCCAGAGATTTATGGAGCTGTGGCACAAAAACTTAACCTCTTCTTCTTTTCACCTTTTACCTTCCCCAGGCAGCTCCATGGCATGGACAAACCAGGGACAGTGATTGATTGTCAAGGTCTTTATTGCAGCAGATGTTTTATTGGCAGAGCAGCAGCCTTTGGGTTTTTTTTGTATTTCTGGTCAAGTCTCTCACTCCTGAGCATCTTGCATTAATACAGAAGGAAGCAGATTTGTGGAGCAGGATACCCTTAAAAATCTGCTCTTCATAAGCAACATCTGGTCTAATGTGTTGAGAATATTTAAGCCTAATAAGGCAAGATTAAGAACAGTTCTCATGTTGGTTTCTCATTTGTATTACAAGCTGTCAGAGGTTGAGAGAGTGAAGTAAGAAGAGTGCAATCAGCAGTAATAAGGTGATATTATCAGCAGGAATACCTGAAATAGAGCCTAAATGACAGAGGAAAGGGAAGGAAAAATACATAGGTGGAAAAGCTCTCTTTGTTCTGTGTAGTGGGTAATAGGCACGTGCTTGTTTGCCACTACCAGCTCTGTATTTTTAAAAGTTAATTTTCTAACTAATCCTTCTACCTCTTCTAAAAGATGTATCCAGAGGTGTACCCAGGTAGTAGCATGTTGTCAGGTTCTTTGGAACTGCCCAGTGAATGCTGAGTGTAAATCATTGCAGTGCTTTCAAAGATATTTATTGGCATTCTTCTATAGAAGTTCATTTTCAAGTGCCACACAATGACAGCAGTATTGGCATAAATCAGATTTCTAGCATAGTGAAATTTAATCTGTTTTAAATGCTGGTGGTGTACTTCAAGAAAACCCAGTAATTGGTCCAGATTCATCTAGTTGGCTTGTCCAAGCCTCAACCCAGCTAGTTTTATTGCAAAGTTTTCTGAAAGGCTTGGATGCTTTTGAGTGATACAGGTTATATTTTCTAGTGCTTATTGTGATTCTTAACTCCTCTGTCAAAGAACAAATGAAGCAGGAATTTCCCAAGTTTTCTATTGCTCATATTTAATAACTTTCAGCTGGTAACTTACAAATTTCCTCCAGATGAGAGTGCCCTGAACTTTGACTGTAATATTTGATTTGTTTTTACAGCCAGATTCTCCTGAATATAAAGCTGCCTGCAAACTGTGGGAGCTGTATTTGCGCACAAAAAATGAATTTGTTCAGAAAGGTGATGCTGAGGATGATGATGATGATGAGGAAGGACATGACAATCAAGCAAATTCTGAATTAGTAAGTGTGGGCATGACAGCTGCAGAAGGGAGGTTGTAACTGTGGATGTCAGCTGACTCTGAGAGGGTGAAATTCATTGAGTAACATTTTCATTGTTAAATTGTGTCCCAGAGGGTATTTCTTGTGCAAGTTTATTAGTTCATCACTTCACAACATTGTGTGTGTGTTTCACTTTTGCTTAGCAAAAAAAGCTGTGAGGGTTTCTGGTATTGGTAAAGCATGGCTCTGGTTTAGTTGGAATAATATGAAGCGTGCTTGAGTTCATGCCAGCATTGAGGTTGGTTGTAAGCATCCTTCGTGTCTAATGACATCAGTTATCAGCCAGTGCCCCATTCAGTCAGTGCAGCTGTTCCTGGAGTGTTATGAGGGGAAATTTGGGCTAGCCTGGTGTTTGTGATGTTGGGATGCACGTTTTCTGTCACTGTGATGTGTGTCTGACAGTCTGCAGTGTAAAGATGAAATTAGAGTTTTTTAGTGTACCTTTACCTGCATAAACAATATTGTCTTCAAAAGTTGCATCTGTATTTTGTAGCTGATTTTTTCTGCCTTTGAAACATTCAGCACAACTTGAAGCCCTCCACTCTGGCTGCTATTAAAACTTACTTTCTGTAATTTTTGTTTCTTATATTAGTCATCTCCAGGTTACCTGAAGGAAATTCTGGAGCAGCTTCTTGATGCTATAGCTGTTGCCACAAACCCCTCAGGACGACTCATAAGTGAACTGTTTCAGAAACTTCCTTCTAAAGTGGTGAGTATTTCAGTAATGTGGGTTGTGTGCTAAGCTGGAAGCCTGGACATTTCTGTAACTGATGTTACAGGCTCTGATGGCCATGCTCAGGGTGCAGCTCTCTGTTTCTGCCTCATCAGTGGCAAACTCCTGTACCTGTTTGTACTGCTCTGTTTCAGAACAGTGGTGTTCTGGTTTTGTGGTAAAAGTTTTAACCAGCAGAATAAATATTCTGAAAACCATCACCATGGATTTTCAATCAGACCTGGTCTTTTATGTCACTTTATTGATTCCTTGTGTCTGCCTCATTTGAGGCTTACACTGTTCTTACCTTCAGTTCATCTAATGGCTTGTTCTGTGAGCTGTTAGAATAAAACCTTTGTGACTGTTTATAGTAATACATAAATTCTTTCTGTTTTCCAGCAATATCCAGATTATTATGCAATAATAAAGGAACCCATAGATCTTAAAACCATTGCCCAGAGGATACAGGTATGAACATATTAATGTGTCAGGGTACAGCCTTTTTTAACAGAATTGTTAGAAGTCAGGATTTATGGTGGCAGGAAAGGCAGTGAGCTTTCCCTCTGCTATTAAAAAACCTGCACACTGTGGTGATTCAATGTTCTGTGCTGGGTTAGTGCTGCAGAAGGTGCTGTGTGGAAGATCAGGCATTGTGAGCTGTGGAGTGCTGGATTTGAGCCAGAATATCTCGGGTTCCTTGATGTTTAATGGCTTAAAGCAGTTCCTTGACAAGTGCTGCTCATGTAAAACATTGGAGTGCTGAGGCTTGGTTGTGTATTATCATCACCTACTTCTGTTCTAGTGCTATAAATAGATGTTTTGTACTGATGCATTTTTCATCTCACTTCTCCAATAATTTGAAATACTGTTCTGTAATTCTAGCATTTTGTATAGTAGGGATAGGACATAGACTGATTGAACTAGAGAATAAAGTTAAAACAGCATTTTGTCAGAACTCTTCAAAATAAGGGTACTGTTATCTTTTAAGTGTTTTTTCAACCTTAGCATTCATTAGCTTTGTAAAGACTTAGCATATATCTATGCTACTGTCTTTGATTACTTTCTGCAGATACTTATCTGTTGTCTTTACAAATAAGTTGCTTTTCTATGAACATTCCCTTTATTGAATATGAATTCCTTTGCTTTTCACTATCGGCTTAGTTCTCATGCTGTCTGAAGGTTGCCACTTTAACCAGTTCTGCTTCTTGTTGTATAGAATGGAACTTATAAAAGCATTCATGCCATGGCCAAGGACATAGATCTTCTGGCAAAGAATGCCAAAACCTACAATGAGCCTGGATCCCAAGTATTCAAGGTTAGTTTCACTTGTTCATAGTGTGATTTGAGTTCAGATTTTCTTGACTACTTTCTGTGCTGGTTGATCCTTAAATAAGTCTTGAGCATAAAGCTCTCAAGACCCTGATTTTATTTTTTTTTAAAATAGCTTTTAGTGGGTTTTTCTTTTTTACATTGCTTTTTGTAGAATTGTGCAACCATGACAAAAAAATGAGCCTAGCCTGAAGCTGCTCAGGTCTTCTATTCAGTTTTTTCAGGCCACTGTAAAAATACTGTGTGGGAGTATTTCAGGCACACTTTGTTCCATGCTTCATTTCTCATGCAAAATTGTTTTATATCTAAATGTAAAAACACCTTTATTTTGTTTTAGATAGCTGGATATATCTGATTACAATATTATTCACTTTCAATATTAAACAAAAAAAAAACCTCTTTTCATTGACAGGATGCAAATGCAATTAAAAAGATATTTAATATGAAAAAGGCTGAGATTGAGCACAGTGAGTTGGCCAAGTCAAGTCTCCGAATGAGGTACTGCAAATTCTATAATCTCATATGAAAACCTCTATTGACATTCCTTTAATTGTGCTGTGGAGAGTATAGTGGGAAATAATGGCTTGAAAACTTAGATCAGTGTTGTTTTATAACTTTATAACATTGGTTAAAATAGTTTTTGAAAGAAAGCTTTTTTCATTTCATTTCTTTTCTACAGTAAAATATTTTTGTGATTTACTTGATTATGAAAAATACTGTCAGTGGATGCTTAATAAGTTATGGCAAATTTCCACCACATGTCTATAAGTTAATAACAGAAAATGAATAATGAGGAAAACAAGATGCTTTCTTTTATTGAAAAAGTGCTGAGTATTCTTGAACCTTGTTAGGAACTGAAACCAAAGAGCTCACAGGGGCAAAAACATAGGAACAGAACCTTGGGCAAAAGATACTTAGAGCGAAATCCATTCATGTTTGAAAAGCAATTTTAGCTATGAAGAGAGGCACAGGAACCTGAAGATCCAGATTTATTAATCGGTGAAGCAGAGATTTGGCCTGAATATGCAGGAATAAAACACTTGATGAGAGTTGATAGCTCTATTTGTTTCATGGGGTGATTTTACTTAGGAAACAGCATTTTCTTCCTGTGAAAATCCATAGTGTACAGAGAAGTGATGCAGTCATTATGAATGTTTCTTAACTGAAATGCAATTAAATTTCTTCTCATATAAACATTTTACTTATAAGTAACACTCGAGTAGGTTTAGGTATTATTTGTCAATGTGAGCTGTGTCAGTTATCTCAAAAAAATTAAGCCATGTCCTGCAAGCCATTCAAAGAGTTTGAAAACTTACAAGGTGGAATCTCTTGATCTGTTGGAGCTGTTTACTGGTATTTGGTGCTGGGAAACCACTGTTGGCATTTCCTGCCAAGGTGTGTATGGTACAGCTGGAAACACTGTCACTGCCTTACTTAACTTAAAGGTAGTTTCATTTTTTCTGTGTATATGGTGTCAGTATTAGAAGTGTTGCCTAGGATTATTGTGTGAAAGAAGTGGAAGTTGCCTGGTTGATTTTTACTGCTTGGTCTTTTGAGAAGTGGTTTTTTTTTGTTGGTTTGTTCAGCATGAGCATCCTTCCCATGGTTGGGTGAATCATTGCTGGAGCATATAAAAATAAAAAGCAGAAATACTCTTTAAGGAGTAATTCCTGACACATAGGTGAATAATTCTCCTTCATAAAAATATGTGTAGTGGCAGAAGATTTGGATTCTACAGACACTGAACATCTATATATTTGTTTGCTTTGCAGTAACTAGAACTACACAGAAACATAGAGGTTTTCTGTTTAAATTGTGATTGTATTTCATTTTTGTCATTGTGTTGGCCATTGATGAAGCTCAGCATGTCAGGGTGTGTGTCATATTTTTTTCTGAGGCTCAATGGTTTTTCTTTAAAATCTGATTGTGTAAGAAGGGATGACAGATAAATCACACTGATATTTGTTAGCTGAATTCCTCTCTTGCACTGCCAACCCATTTCCACTTCTCAGCTGCCTTATTCTAGATGTTCCTCTTGTGCATTGTATTCTCAACAGACCTTCAAATCCTGAAGAAATCTATCAGAATCATTGACAGCTCCCTTCTTTGTTTCTCTGACTTGGGGGAAAAAAATAATGCATGAAGCAGGCTACAATAATACTGGGCTGAATGCAGAAAAAATGTGGATAAGCAAAGTGTCATGAAAACCTAACCTTTCACCTGCTATTGTATTTCACTGGTTGCTTTTTCTGTTGAACCATTCTTTTTTTGTTTGTTTCTTTCTTTCTCAAGAATCTGCTTCACAGAATCATTATTCTTATTTAAATTCCTAAGTGTTGAATTGTGTTAAAGGGGAGTTCTTCACCTGTTGCTGATTTGGGTAAAACTCCCTCATAAGTTTACTTCAAGTGCATTTTCTATATTTTTCTTCTGAATTTGCATCTGTTGTTCTTTGTCATTGATGGCTCAAACTCAAATCATCATAATGCTACTAACATAAGCTTTATATGTTGCCCCTGTGTCAAAAACCATGGTTTTTATTGCAGAGCTCATTGTCTCCTTTGCCATCCTAAACTGCTCTTTGTGGGTGCATTTAACTGTCCTCCCTTAAAGTGACAAAATTGAATTGTTTGATAATATGCACTGTCAGCCAACCTGACAGTGACTTTAAGTGTTGATAAACATGACTGGACCTGTATGATTGGCTTTATCTGGATGCTAAGGAACATTTTGTTGGCTGCTTTCACTGCTGTTTAGGCTGAGCTGTGTGTACAGCTATCAATGCTTGAGCTGAACGTTACTTTCCTCTGACTCTATAAACAACATCCACATAAATGCTGGAGCACTGAAAGGATCTCACTTATCTTTTAGCTTCCAAACATCTGTCTCTGAACTTTTTGGCTGATCTATCAAAGTGATTCTGTAAAAAGCTTTTTTTCTTGCTGCATCTTTTCATGGGTTTAAGGTGGGCCTGTTTTTTTTCCTCCCCCCTTTCCTTGGCTTGCCTCTCCTGCCTTAAGGACTGCATCAAATTTGGCTGCTTCCAAGCTGACAGGTCCTTCCTCACAGGGTAAAGGCAGTGTTGGGGATGAGAGAAATTCTTCTAACAAATATTATCGGTAAGTAAATCGTGCCCTTGGAGGAAAAGCTGGGTCCTCGTCCTATGGAAATGCTGAATTTTGTTTGATTTTCTTCCTCACACCTGCTGTGCTGCTGGGCTTTGGATTAGGATGAGATGAATGCTGATAAGACACTGATAGTGTGGTTATTGCTGATTGGGGAGTGTGTGCAGTCCATGCTGGCAGTGCTCCCTGGGGTGGCTACAGCAGCTGACACTGCAGCACAGGGATAAAGGGATAAAACCACCTGGGCTGCTCAGCTGGGCCTGGATCTGCTGCTCAGGCTCAGAACCTCTTTGTGAAAGTGCCTCATGCCCATGGCCCCAGGGGCTGGGCCCCAGAACAGCAGCACAGCAGCCAAGCTGGCTCAGGGTGCTGAGGCTGGAGTGGCCCATGTGGATCTGCACTGGCAGTGGGAAGGTGAGCTACAGCTCCAGAGACCTTTGGGAGGAGAGGCTACAAGTGGATGTGCTCATGATCCAGGTGAGGATTGCACACCCTGTCAGTGGTACTGCAATATAAATGACCCAGGTGAATGAAGCTTTTTTGGTGAAAAGAGGCAAAGCACAGCAAGGACAGAAGCAGAAGTGGCTTCACCAGGCAGCAGCCCAGCACCAGCACTGCTGCCCTGCAGGACTGCAGGGGCAGATGGAACCCAGAGTCAGGGACTAAAGGAGCTCACTGGATGTTTTAGAGGGATGGCCCACACACTGAGGAAATGATACCTGTGTGTTTGTATCAAAAGGCAGGAAGGGTGTGTGGGAGAGTGCAGGGCCCAAGCATGCCCTCAGCCCATCTGCTTTTACCCAGTCTTCACTTGGCCCCTGCGGGACAAGGCTGAGCCCATTTCTAGAGGTGCCTAAAGAGCTGATCTTGTGAAAAGGCAGAGAATGTCAGGCATAGCTAATGTAGTGTGGTATGAAATGCTGTGCCCCAGGTTTGGGACAAAAGAGAAGGATGCTGAAGAAGTCTAGGTCAGACTGTAGCCAGTGTGGATGCCAGGTTACTCCACCTAAGCATAGGAGGCTGCTTCATGTGCAGGCACTGTGTGTGCTGAAAGTGCCAAAGGTGAGGATAAGGGAATGAGAGGAAATAGAATATACAGTGTGTGGAATTCTTTCCTGTTGACAAATCCCAATAAAACGGGATCAAAAACTAAAGTTATTAATTGGGAGAGACTTCTTATCATTCCCCTTCTCTTGCAATTAATCAAATACTCAAGTGTACCAAACAGGACACAAGGTAGTAGGCTGAAGCTCAATTTTCTGACTGTGTTGGATGGACCAGCTCATAAAATAGAGGCAGACTCATGGCTTGGTAAGAATTTCTCCTGTTAAAGGCTCTGGCTTTCTTTGGTCACTGTCATAAGCTGTGTTCCTGCTTATGGAGTCATGACTTGTTTGCTCACACACTCTGGGTGACTGCTAATAGTTAATGTGATAACCCTTTCCTTTTTTTTTTCATTATAATTTTCTCTCTTTTTTATTTTTAATTTTAAAAATTCCTTTACTTTTTCTCTTTCATAGCAACAAAAGATCAGCCCAAGGGGATCGTTTATCAGCAATAACCATGGCACTGCAATATGGATCAGAGAGCGATGAGGATGCAGCTTTGGCTGGTAGGAGCTGAAATGCAGTTTCTCTAATTCCTTTCATTAAAATGTTCACATGGCCAAATCTGTAGAGCTCCTGATAAACTCAGTGACATTTATTTCAAAAATATTTTGTACTCAGTGTGTGATTCCTTTGACTCTTACAGCTAGTGAAATAGGGTAGGCCAAACTTGCTGGCATACTTTGAGTTTTCTGTATGTTTCCAAGTGTATTTACCCAAGCGTTAGGGAGCTGTTGCCTGTTTTTATTCCTTCTAAAATGGAACAGAAGGGGAGATACTGGAGAAGACATTGGGTGCTCCATGCAGCAAAAGAGATTGGTAGTGCTGGAATTGCTTCTTTGTTTAATTTTTTGTTTACATTATTTCTTCAATGATGTTGAAGATGCATCTGTTCAATATGTATTATTGGGGCATTTATTTCTTACCTGGTAATTGAGCTGTACTCCACACAGTTTTCTAGTGGATGGGTATGTGGAATTTTTTGAATTTTAGCTCTTGCTGTAAGCAAAAGCATTTTGATTCCTGGTTAGTTCAGAGTTCAGTTACTGCTTCAGAGCAGCTGTTTTCTGGGAGGTGTGGGGAATATTTATTAGCTGGGTTTTGCTTGTTTGTTAACTGTTATTTTTTCAAGTTGCAATGCTATAAAAACATGTAGCTTTTTATATTTTAGTGATTTAAATTCTTGCACTGATTAAACCACTTTCTGGTGCCACCTTTGCTATGGACATTATTGTAATTTTTTGTAAGACCTCTCTCTGTGTGCAAGGCTTTTGCCTTGCTGCTGTTGAAGCTCTTCTGTCTTTATTGCATTCACCTAAGAGGCAATGTTATTTTTTTTAGCAGACCTGTGTCCCCCTAGGATTTTCTGTGCTTCCAGTGTACTACTTGGAGAGCCCTGTACTGCCAGTTTCTGGGTGACAAGGGCTTTTCTTTAAACCAAGTGATATTTTTATTAATTGCTCTGCTGTCTCATTTCTTTTCATTCCTCTAATGCTTGTTAAAATAAATGAGAACAAGGCTGCATGACTGAACATTAATAGAACTCTCTCCTTGAAACAGAGCTGAATCTTTATGAGCTTCTTTGGTTGTAGCTGTTGCCTAAGCAATGAACAATATCAGTTTCCAAGAGAGTTTATCCTGACAGCTGTAGATGGTGTTGGTGTGGTGGAGCTTGTAGAACATTTCCAGCCCCAGTATAAAAGTTGTGAGCAGCTTCAGTAGCTCCCTTGCTCCTCATTATCAGTCTACAGAGGCAGGCATAGGTGGTCATTATGTATTACTTGCATGTATTTAATTTTGTAAACAAGGCTGTTTTGTTTTTACTGTCTCATTTAGAGATGGTTTAAGACTAGATGCTGCTTTTGGTTTTACTGGCAACCATCTTCAGTTGGACATGGAGCTTTCATTGTTGTTTGGGTGCTCTGGGACCACAGAGGAGACAGTGGGGTTTTTGTGGTATCTGCAAACTGTAGTTGTGGTAACAGCACAAAAGGACTGCCTGTCCCTCTCTTCTGCCAGTGCTTGCTGGGGATATGGGACCTGGTGCTGCTGCACATTAAAGAAAGTACAGTCTTGCATCAGATTGTTTGCTCTATAAGAGCAAAAATATTATTATTGCAAAAATAATAATTTTTCTGTCTTCTGGCCTGAGTAATACATTCTTCTTTGGCTCTTAAAAGAGCAGGTTTCATATTAGGACACCAGAACAATTTTCTAGATAGGTAAAAATATATGATGTTTACACATCACTTTTAAAGAACATGCACATTATAATGAAAATGTAGCTGTATATTTATTTATATTTATTTACAGCTGTATATATTGTAAATATAGTTATATCTATGACCATAATGTATATATATTTACTCATAGCTGTGTATTATGTAAATATAAAATACAGTCAAACTATAATACATAAATGCTTTATTTTAGTACATTTTGAAATAACTAATTAATATCTAATTTACTTAGATTTCTTTTTAGGGAATGCCTCCTTTCAACACAGTGAAAGTACATTTCTTATTTAGGGTATTGAACTGTTTTGTTGCTGCTCACACACAGCAGAGAACAGCAAATACTTGACTGGTCCCTTTGTGTTTTCTCTTTCATAGAAACAAGTTATTCTGCTTTTTCAGTTTGTTTCTTACTTTTGGTAGAGTGCTCAGAACTGAGCAATTTGAGTAAACAGACCATACTGTTGAAGTAAACTAAACCATAATCTATTTTTGAAACTTCACCTGATTTCAGTGGTAGCTCCAGTGATTTGTTTCTACCTGAGTTACTCTGTCCAGCTCCTGCTTTGCTGGCTGTGGTGTAGTAGGTGCTGGGTCATTGAGTGATGCTGATGGGCATCCTTGGGATAATTTTGGGTGTCTCCCCAAATCAGTAATGCACATCCTCAGTGCATGTTTGCACATCTGCTGATGCCTGCTTGTGTTTTAGCTTTGCCTCTGACCCTGGCAGGTCTCACACACTGATGTAGATGTGGTGTCAGGCTGCAGAGCAGCAATGACAGCTCTGTGTTGTTACACTCTGAGTGTCCCCTGGCTTTGCCACTATTTCTGTGTGACTTCACTGAAGGCGGATAGAGAGCTTGAAGCTGTGGCAGCCTCCTCTGAGCAGTAATGGAAATGCCAGCTGGAAACCTGGTGTTGGAGAGCTGTGTAGCTGAGTGACTCAGTGTGTCATCTGCCAGACTCAGAGGGGAAAAGGGGTGAATAATTTAACTCTAATGTGCAAAGCCATGTAGATTTTATGTCATGTCTGTCTGCAAGGTACAAAGTGCACTGTTCATGTGACTTAGAAGTGTAGAAGGATTGGCCATTTATTGCTTCCCATCCTGTTTCCAGTACCAGTGTTTTCTCCTTCCTGATGTGTTTCTGTTGTTCATGTAATGTTTCTCCTAATTTTATCTGCAGTGTTAGCTCTTCATAGCTTTTCTTTCATTCATCCTAATCCTGAAACAAGATAACCAAAAAAGTTTGCTATGAAATTTTTAAATACTTACTATGAATTTTGTAGGCTTATTGTATAATCACTGTAAAACATTTATTTCTTCTTCATTTGCTGTATATGTTAGAGGAGCATCATCAGGCTTTAGTATCAATTTTTTTCTGTTAAGCTTCACAATTTTTATTGAACTGTGATTAATATTATCTAAAGGATTGCAATAAAGGGGTTTTTTTTGTCAGCTTGAGGCTCATCAGATGTGTGTTGTGTCATTTTCTGAGGTGTGAATTTGACTGCCAGAGAGGGCTTTCCTTTCCTTCTGCTTTACACCTTTATCCATCAAAACACCCACTCTGAGTTGTCCTGCTGAGTTTCCTGTTTCTGTTCTCTCTCTGTGCAGCTGCTGCTCGTTATGAAGAGGGAGAGTCTGAGGCTGAGAGCATCACCTCCTTCATGGACACCTCCAATCCCCTGTACCAGCTCTATGACACAGTGAGAAGCTGCCGTAATAACCAGGGCCAGCTCATCTCTGAGCCCTTTTTCCACTTGCCCTCCAAGAAAAAGTATCCTGATTATTATCAGCAGATTAAAACACCCATTTCATTGCAGCAGATCAGGTAAGAGAACAGAATGCAAACTACATCTGGTGTGAAAATATTCAAGTGTTTTATTCTCAGAATCTTCTCTTATGGGCAAGTTGTTGGTACCTAATGCAGTGTTTGCACCATATCTCCTGTACATCTGATTGCTGCTTGTTTCTGCTCAGTCTGCATCAGTCTTTAGATCATCTGTGGTATATGGCTGCTATTTGGTTTATTTTTCATTGAATTTCATTTGTAATGTGCCTGAAAATTGCCATATGAATAATTCTGAAGACTAGGTGTGCAGCAGAGATAAAAGGTTTTGCAGAACTCCATTTTTCTTTTTCCCTGATCTGATGGCTTGATTACCACTTACTGCCATATTTTTTAAGTTAAAAGTCTTCAGTGTGAATTGTAGGAAGATGGCTACAATTACAATCCTCCTGTCTGGGTCACTGTGTAACTGTGGAGAATAATTATATTCATGATGATGTGGCTGGTCTGGACTGAAGCCAGCATTTATAAATGTGTGAACCATGGAAGGTCTGTGAGCTGCCAGAGTGCAGTTGTCAGATTAAAGACCTGAGTGAAGTGAGCTGTGTCTTTCTTTGGTGGCTCAAGATAAGCCAGTGTGATGGGTGTGAGCAGGTCCTGGGAGCATTAAAAGGCTTTAATGGTGCTGCCAGTGGCCACTGGGGGTCCAGGCCCTGCCCCAGCCACACCCTGGGAGTACCAATCCTTCAGCCCCAGTGAGGGAGCCCTGCGCCCTCCCACTGCTCATCCCTCTGTAATCCACTCTGATGCACAGGTCTGTACATTTTAGTTGTACCATAATGCAATCTGTCAGACTTGATGGAATTGTTGAATGAGCAGGGTCTTTGTTAAATCAGAAGTTGACAAAGCTGATTTTTGGTTTTTTATTTTGTCTCAGAGGGTGTTTTGCATGTGCTGGGGGATAAAAGCTGCCACACTGGTTATCTCTGCCATCAGTAACTTTAAAGCCTTTTTTCTTATGTGTTAGTACAGCTGTAATAGTGGTAAAGAAAGTGTCTTGCCTTGGACAAAGCACAAAATGTACTTGATGGAAATAAACCAGACAGTAAAATTAAGAAGAATCATTGACGTTTTGTGCCTGAATCTACCTAAAAGTACTGGCTCAAATTATATATAAACAGATTTGTTTGGGAAAGATTTTCCATTAAAAATACCCTTAATATCAGTTATAGAACAAATAACTTGCCATAGAGAGGCAGCTGCATTTCTGCTTTCCTTACAGTGTAGGCAGGTTGCATCTGGCTGTGTGAGCAGCACAGAAATTCCATAGCAGTGTATGAAGAACTGTAGAAAAAAGTAACTTGTCTTACTGTCTGGGGGCTTAGAAAATAAGGGAAAAAAGGGAACAGCCAGGCTTTTTAGAAATAGTGTTTGAGGCTCACAAATTAAAATACAATGTTTGTAGAATTTAATTTCCTGCAAATTCTGAAATTCAGCTGTCTTTTAAATTACCTTGTAATCTTCACTTTTACTATACCTCAAAAGCCTTTAAGTCATGCATATGTGCTCTTAATTGAAGGGCTTTAGGGAAAACTGAAGCCTCATGGCTTTGCTGATAGTGCTAATATGTCTTTGGTATTCAGAACTGCCACTCATTAGGGGTGGAGATTGTTTTATGGGGTTTTGGGTGTTTGGTTTTCTGTGGGGTTTTTTCCCTTCTTTTCTTGTGGTGGTGGTTTGGGGATTTTTTTTTTTTTTGAGATGTACATAAATACAGCATATCTTCTGTTCCCAGATGGGGACGGGAAAGTTCAGTGTCCCAGTGAGAGGCTGGAGGAGGTGGAGTGAAGCCTGCCATTCCTGTTTCATGTCTGTTTGGCTCTGGCATCTGGCTGCCTCAGCTGTCCTGCCAGAGTGAGCTGTGAAATGTGTGGCTGTTGAAATTTTACAGCTTGTCATGTATTTCAGGGAGATTTGTGTGTGCTAAAAGCAGGAAAAGTCTTTAAAATAATTCATGATTTCCAGAGGGAGTATGTGTGTTTTGGTTTAATGAGATGTTACCTATCCCAGCCTCTCAGTCTCTTTGAGTGCTCTAAACCTCAGTCATTTGAGCTGAGTGCTGATCCTGAGCTGTTCCTGCCTGTGGGAGGTAATCATGCTGATGGCTTTTAGTTGTCTCCTGATTTCCTCCTGCCTTGCTGCTCTCAGATCACAGAACAGCTGAGTAGGAGGGGAAACCATCCTGCCCAAGCCCTGTGGCAGGGTCACCCAGAGCCTTGTGTCCAGACTGTGTCCAGTCAGGTTTTGATGGTTCTCCACACATGGAGACTCCACATCCTGCCAGGGCAGCTAGTGCCAGTGTTTGAGCACCCTCCCAGTGCAAACCATTTGTGTTCAGCTTGAAATTTCCTGTGTTCCCGTTTGTTCCACTCACCTCTGGCCAGTCAGTGACACAGCTGAGGTGACCCTGGCTGTCCCTTCATCCCTCCCAGCAGATGTTGAGCGCATTGATGAGAATTCCCTGCCTCAAAGAGAGCAAAGCTCAGAGCTGGAGAACAAGAAAATCCTATTTAAAAAGAAAGGCATGATGCTGCCAAGGCTGTGGCTTTGACATGTGGTGAAAGTGCCTAATGCAAAGTTGACATTGCTGGGGAAGAATCATTCTGTTAATTACAAATAACCACAGGAGCAGTCAGGGGAAGATGCAGGAGAATGAGTTCAGTTCCCAAGTGCACAAGTGCTGGATCCTGGCAGGCTTACAAGAACTGTTCCTTATTAAATTTTACAGTTTTGGGAAGTATGATCCCCTAGGCAAGTGGGTCAGGCTTTTTTATCCCAGAGGAGGAAGTTGTGCCAGGGAATGCCCTGGCAGCAGCTCTCTCTGAAACACATGTGGGAGTACAGGCACTGAAATTGGTACCTTCACAGCACACCCTGGTGTCTGGTGCTCCTGGGGCTGCAGCTGAGGTTTAAAAATGTGCAGGGATCTGGTGTCAAACACACTTGGGTTTGTGTGATAGCTGCTTTTTGGGGAATTCTAATCAATTTTTCTTAATGAGTGGGATCCTTTTTGGACAATGCTCTGTAACATAATTTAAATGTTTGCATTTATGTAATGTGTTGGGGTTCTCTTGAATTTTGTGGTGGTTTTGGATTAGTTATAAATGGTTTGAGTGGAGCTTATAGTAAATGTCATCATTTGGTCACAGATATTTTTGCCATATATCTTAAGCAGTTTTAGCAATATGGCAAATCAAAAAGTGGAACTAATTTTGAAGTATTAGAGACTGGTGCCTGGACTAAAGTTTGAAGGGTTTATGGAGAACTGTGTTTTTGTTTGCTTGATTCATAAATGAGTCAATTGTGAAGAGAAAATGATGCCTCTAATATTTTGAATACACTGTAAATTTTCACTTTATCTGAGATTTAGGACTTCATTCATTCCTTTTGTCACTTAATATAACTTATTATTTGGTGAATATTGTCTATTTTTGAACTCTTCTGTTTGTGTAACCAGTTTTCCTGCCTTAGGAAGTACTTTCAGTGCATGTTGTATGTTTATAAAATCACAGGTTCAAGCAAAGAAGTTTCCCAATGTATTTTAGAAGAAGACTGTCATCTTCACTAGGACATTTGTCAAATGCATCTCTTGATCCCACTCATTCTTTGTTAGTGGGTTGTTTTTCCCTCAAGAGGCAGGACTAGCACTTCACAATTTCTGAATAAAAGAAAATAAGTTGCATAACTGATCTTATCCTGATGTTTGAATATTTTTCAGTAGGGAAGTTTTAGGCTAAGTGTTTGTCTAATAAATGGATCTTTTGGTTATATGGAAAGAGTATGTCTCACCTTCACTCCTTGCAGATATTCCACCTGGACGGACTGATGAGTTTGCAGTAGGCATTTTAGGGAGTTGAGTGCCAACTTACAGTATTCTTTTAATTAATATTCTGATTTCAACCAAATTAAATGTCATGTCAGTGTTGTTTTGGGCTTAGTGGTCTTATGAAACTGTAGCCTTACTTTTAAACTTTTTTTTCTTCATTTTGCAAAAGTCATTTTGTATAAAAGGAAATTCTTTCTAGTTTTACTTGTGCTTTCAGGTACTGTTACATCCCTGTCAGTAATTTTCACAGAAATTTCTCTTAGTTTCTAGTGTATGATTTGTGTTATATTGGCAGTGGTTTTCTGTAGAGCCATGAGTTTGGTTAGTTTCAGCCTCACTTTGTGAAATAAACTGATGTTTATAAAATCCTGTCTTCCCAAGATTGGTGAGACAGCATGTTAAACATTTATTGTGAAGCTGCACTTCATCCTCTAAATCCAGAGAAGTCATGATGCTTGAGTTCTGCTGAATTTGAGTGTAATTAAATCTGTTTGAAATACTTATTTAAATAACTTACCTAATTAATCATCCTATTGTTTGCTGACAGCAGCACAGAGAATGGTAGGAGAGGAATGTCTTTGCAGGCTAGAACAGGATCACTTCTGTGCTTGTACATTTTTCATTTCTTATGTCCCTGGCTGGAAGTTATCACTTTCCAAACCATTCAGTCTAAGTGGGGTTTTTACTTTTGCTTCAGGCCTTTGATGAGCACAGCTGTGAATGTAAATGGTTTGCTTAAAATCAGATGGCTGCACCTTGGTTGTTGGGTAGTGGATAAGCAAATGGTGGGAGGAGCAAGCTTAATATAAAACTGAAAGGTTTTATATTAAATTTATTTCATGGTAGTGATGATGCTCCATCAGGCAGGGACACATTCAGCCAGGTGCTGCAGAAGCCAGGCTGGGTGCAAAGGTGATGTGTGACTGGTGAATGTGCAGGCAGGAGGAGGAGGAAGCTGTGCTGCAGCTGTGACAGGTTTTGGGCTTGTGTTGCTGCAGATTAGTATTTTCTGCTGTGTGTAATGAAATATTGGAAGGTTTTAAAAAAGGTGGCTAGAACTTCCAGCATTGTGTAAGAAAACACATCAAGTTGAGCATTAACTCACGTTGATTCATGTGTTTAGCATGTGAAAAATGACTTTGTTGTTGTTGTTAGTCCTCTTGTAACTGTTGTCAGGTGAAGTGCACTTTGCTGTATCCCCAGTCAACAATCAGATGTTTTTTTAAAGGAAGACACAGATTGGAAGGTTTAACATGAGAGGTGCTGGGTGCTTTTGGCTCTCACTGAAGATGAGTGGAATTGATGGAAGGGAGGCAGCGTTTGGGGCTGTGCAGAGCTGGCCTGGCTGAGGTCAGGGCTCAGGGGCACTGCAGCCTGTGCTGCTGCCTCACCTGTAACATCTCACCCCGGTATGAAAACAGAATTTCAGGCTCCACAGCTTCCAGAATTACTGAAGCCATTCTTTGAGAAGATACATTTCCCTTATCTAGTTACAAGTGGAAAATGTTACTAGAGAATCAAAAAGTAAATGCTATTTCTGTAGTTAAAACTCTTTCACTATTGCTTTGTCATGAAAATGAGGATATTAAAGGACTGTTTTGGACCGTGTAACTAGTGAAATTAGCTGACTAATATTTCTCTTTTGCAGAACCAAGCTGAAGAACCATGAGTATGAAACTTTAGATCAGTTGGAGGCTGATCTGAATTTGATGTTTGAAAATGCCAAGCGCTACAATGTCCCCAATTCTGCCATCTATAAAAGGGTGCTAAAAATGCAGCAGGTTATGCAGGTATGTGGAGGAGAACAAGCAAAAGGATAGAACTTCACATGTAAATTTATTTCCCTAAAGGATATTTTTCCAGAATAATTTTTAACTAGACCTGTGTTTGCAGAAGTATTTTCTTGCTTAGAGGGAAGTATGGGAAGGGAGAGCATCATTAAGTGATTTTTCCTCAGCACACCTGCTGCCTTCTGTGATTTCTTTCAGTCACTTTATTCCTTACTGTGACTCCCAACCTAATTAAATTGTGAGAAAATTGATGATGTAGGGCTTTTGAGTTTCCCTTTAATTGAATAAGGCTAAAACCTCTCAGATTTCATTAAGTGTTCCAGATAAGTGCTGTAGTCTGAAATGGCATTGTTTTCAAGTTGGTTCCTCAAAAGTTGTTCTGTCAGTTAGAAAGAACTATACTGCTCTTTAATTCTGTTCTCTAAGTGTCCAGCAACGAGTTTGGCTTCAGAGCTCTGTTCTTTTTTCAGGCAAAGAAGAAGGAGCTTGCTAGGAGAGATGACATTGAGGATGGGGACAGCATGATTTCTTCTGCTACATCTGATACTGGAAGCTCAAAAAGGAAAAGGTATCTGCTTCTGTAGTTCCTGCAGGACATAACATTGCTGCATCTCTTTTTTGTTACAGAGAATGTTAAACCATAATTTTTTTAGCCTTTGTGTAAGGATTTGTAATTCTGAAACATCATTAAGTGTTGATTCTAATTAATTCAAAACTATTTGCTGACTATTAATTCCCTATTTTGGTCTATTAGTTGGCAGTTGTCAACATCCCTTCAATAAGTAAAATGGGCCCTGTAATTGCACTGAACTCAGTGATTTTCTCAGCAGATTTCAGGATTTTTTGGGGAGAGTTGTTTTATTTTAGCCTGACAAATAGATAAACTGATTATAAGAGGTTGATGACTTAGGATCTTATAACATGAACCAAATTCCCAGTGATTTGCAATAGACTCTTCTGTTGGGCATAATGATGCCTTTTGGAAGGTATTCTTTATGGTGATAGCTGGTTTTTAATTAATGTTGATGATACATTTCACTCCAGCAAGAGGGAGTTTCTCTAGTCTGCCTTATGGTGTCATTTGAAGTAAAGTCCAGCTCAGATAATAATGCAGTGGTAGCAACAGCCAGTATAAAATTGCAAGCTTTCAGCATCTTTCTTTGGTGTTGCTTATGAGCATTGGCTTCCTGGGTATTTATTTCTTGTTTTGTCAAAGGAACAGCTGTTGTGGGGGGAGGAAGGGAATGGAGTAGAGCATCAGCAGAGAGTCACTGAAGAACAGTCAAATAAATGGAGAAATGTACATAAATTAAAAAGCTTCAGAGGGAAAATATGAACATGGGTTTAGGAGGGGGTGCAGTCTAGGGATGCTGGGAAGAAGAAATTTAATGGAAAGGAAAGGCAGACCACAGAACCAAGGAAGGAACAAATTGCAAAAATCACTAACTTTGTGATCTTCACATTCAAAAAGAAGTACTAACCTAATCAAGCAAGTCAAATTGTCATCAGAGTCCTTTTAATCCCATGTTGCTTTTGATCACCTTGTGCCAGACACTACTGAAATGCTTAAAAGGAAAAAATCTGTCAGGCTCTGTCATCTAAAAACAATAAAAGAGGAAAGGGAACAAGGGATTTCCCATGTTGGTAGGCAAGGGAGATCAGAATAATGCCTGAAGAGCACCTGAAAATGCTTTTGATGTTGTCAGTTTGATGCTTGTTATCCATTCACTTGCTGAATGATAGCAAGGAAAAGATCATAAATGCTGCTGATCACAGAAGTGAAGCAATGAGAGGAATTCCAAAATGTTGCTGGAAAAAGAAACCAATAACCCATGCAAAATTCATCCTGTTGGGAAAATAACAGTTACCCAGAAGAAAGTTGTTTGAATGTCCCCTTTTATGTATCAGATGCATGACATGAATCTTGAGTATTGGCAGGCCTTTTTATTGCTGTTTCTGCTTTGGTTTTGCTTTGCCTATATCTGTTAAAATGAGTGATAAAAACCTGGAAACACATGAAAATGAGGGATTTGGCAACATGTCTGTGTTCTGGCATTGCTCAGCTGCTAGTGGGAACAACTAACCAACATTTGTCAACAGTGGTAATGTTTAGCATATAGAACATATATTTTGAGTTTTCTTTGTTGTTAGTTTTCTTTATTTTGCTGATCTCACCAAGAAGTAAGAGATATCTGAGGCATAAGACTATGCTGAATTAGGTTTATTTTAAATGTGTAATGAAAAGAGCCACATCATGGGAAATCTGTGTTGCAGTTTGGTTTCTAATAAATTGTTCTGGGATATTTTGCACATTCTGCAATTGAAGGTAATTTTTTGTGGTGGTTATTGTAATATATTATATTACAATGTAATAGTCAAAGTTATAACAACCTGAATAAGTCTTGAGGAGATTGCAGATTGGAAGCCTGTTTACAAGTGCTTTGTAGTGAGTGTATTGCTGAGTGCCACAGTATCTGAGCTGAGACTATACATTGAAATGAATTTTCTTCTCCCTTATTTAATTTACTTATAGGCCATGTACTATGTGTGCAGGGAGCCATGTACTTTTTTATGATAAGCTGTGTCTTGGTTGTGCTGTCAAATTTCTTGAGACAACCATAACAGCTACTCACAGGATGACTGTAACATTTGTGGGGATAGCACGTACCATTGTGGGCTTGCAGTCTTGGGGAGCTTTATTGACTTCATTTGGATTGACAGATATTTAAGCAATTCTTTCTACTGCATCCTTGATATCCTTACTTGGTACTGAAGAATGCACAAAATTACTCTGAGATAAATAGCTCATGTATTTGATATTCTGTGTTCACCAGAAGTAATCATGAAGGTACTGACTGGTGGGTTTTACCCTGTTCACTCTGGATCTTGAGCTCTTGGATTCAGATGCCTGATCCTGACTGGTCTGTTTTCTCTGCATCTGGAAAGTGCTCAGAGCTCCTTTTGGCCTTTGCACTTTGAGAAATGAGTTAGTTGATTTATTTTGTAGTACACTTGAACTCAGGGTCAATGAGAGAACGATCATCTGGCAGAGTAATTTCCTGTTTCTGTGTCAGGCTCCTGATTGTGATGCTGTTGTCAATTGCAAATTCTGGTCTTAATGTTGAACTTCTTGTGTGTGTGTTTAAGTGGTTCTGTTGTCTCTTCATGGTAGAAGATAATATCATTTTGATATTGGTGTTGGAAGTGGGGATAGGAACCCCTGACATTTATTCTTTTCTTTATGTTCTTAACCCGACAGTAAAAAGAACATCCGGAAGCAGCGCATGAAGATCTTGTACAACGCGGTTCTAGAAGCTCGAGAGCCTGGCACAGGCAGGAGGCTCTGTGATCTGTTCATGGTTAAACCATCCAAAAAGGACTATCCAGACTACTACAAAATCATCCTGGAGCCAATGGATCTGAAGATGATAGAGCACAACATCCGCAATGACAAGTACGCGGCGGAGGAGGCCATGATCGAGGACATGAAGCTCATGTTCCGCAATGCCAGGCACTACAACGAGGAGGGCTCCCAGGTACTGCTGGGCTCAGCAGCCACACTCTCTGCTGCCTTGCAGGCATCAACTGCTCTTAGGATGGCTTCACTTCAATTATTACACATATTAATTATTGTAATTGGTTATTGAACTAAAGTAGAAATTCTCAGAACTTCTGAGAAAGGGTGTCTTAGAAGGAAAACAGCTTTGTTTTCATGGAAGTGGAGAGTGTAGGAGATCAGACTAGAAGACATGACTTGTTTAGCTTAGCAAAATGAGTCTGAAAGGGATATTGTTTTCATTTATAAGTATAATGTTGGGTGCGTCTATATTGTGATGTTTCTCAGGCAGCAGGAATGATGTGGAGCAGGGAGGTGGTAAGAAACCTCCAGCTGTTTCTAATAAGGAACTTGGTCAGCAGCTGCACTTCATCACCAGGGTAGAGCTTGAAGACCCAGGACTGTTGTAGTCCTTTGTACCTTGATGGAATCTCAGTGGTTCAAGGGATCTTTCATTGCTCAGCAAAAGGGTTTGATGAAGAAGTTGATAACAAGCTGCCCCCTTGCCATTTTGTAGTCTTTGGAATAGAGATGCATCTTAATTGAATAATTTTTTCAACATTTGTAGCTCCCTGATTTAGAGGGTGGCATCAGTTCTGCTTAGCTGTGTCAGTTAAAAAGAAAGGCTTATTTATTTATTTATTTATTTATTTATTTAAATAAAATACTCCAGTTTGCTTTCAGCTTCTCCAAACTAACACTGAAGTGTTTCTTAGGAGCTAGTTCTTAACTAGTAAACACAGTAAACCTTGTTTTGGTTGGATTTTGATTACTTTACTGATTAATAGGTGTATAATGATGCCCATATGCTGGAAAAGATCCTGAAGGAAAAAAGGAAAGAGCTGGGACCCTTGGCTGAAGATGATGATGTTGCATCCCCTAAACTAAAGCTAAGTAAGACAACCTTGTGCTTTGCCTTGTCTCATTTCAATACTTACAACACAATACAGGTGAACAGATCTTCCTTTTACACATAGATGTGTTCTGCACAGTTGTTAACACTGACAAGGAAAGTAGAATTATATTTTCAAAATCTTGATAGCAATGGCATGTCTGTATTTTACAATGTAATTAAGTGTTTGCATGTAGTGTTTTCTAAGAAAAATAACTTAAAATGAAGAAAAAAGACTTTGGAATGGGTGGAAGGATTAAGATTTAGGCATACAGTGTTATCCAAATGTTAGATGGGGCATTATGTGATCAGTCAAGTAAGGGGCTTCTCAGATTGAGCAAATCTCTTAATTTCACTGGTTGAATGTCTGGGATTTCCACAGAATTTTTAAAAAAAAGTGAACCCTGTTTGGCAGATTATTGAAAGCCATGAAGAGCATGGAAGTGAAGTTCCTTGAGCTGTTGCCCTTACAGCCTTGCTACTACTAAAATCTTATGTTCTCTTTATACGTGTTCAGAGCTGAGCAAACTGAGGTGGATAAAATTGCACAAAAACCTTAAAGAAAATAACTGCACACAGTCTTCTTGCAAATTAAATGTGCAGCTCCTGGGTAAAGCACAGGTGTAGAGTACAGGTGCAGTGCGGTAACAAGATCCTGAATTAGTCAAAAAGCCAACCTGATAATGCCATGGGAGGCCTTAGTTTGCATATTACTTATAATAATCCTTTCTAATTTGGCATAAACATGTCATAAAGGAATCTGATCATATTTTGAATGCTTAATTTTAGTGATAGCCAAATCCTGTGATGACAGGATTTTTAGCAGCTGCAGAGACAAATTCATGGAGAACTGTAAGACCAAAAGGAGTTTAGGGGAGTTTGTTAATGCTGTTAGGTAGAAAAAGATATTTTCCTTGCTGAAGCCTGAGGAGGCCTTTGCCAGGTGTAGCATGGAGCAACATATTCTGTGTTTGCCAGAAAGAAAGTAAAAAAAAACCCTCATAGAGTTATGAAAAACAAAGGAAGCTGCAGCCTGGAATAGGCTCTGTGTTGTGAGGCTTCTGCTCACACCATGGAGTGCTTCTCCCATGAGCAATTCTCTGGACAAAGAAACCTGCAAGTTCTCGGCTTTGCCATTTTATAACTCCTTTGTTATTTTTGTGGTGTTAGGTAGGAAAAGTGGCATTTCTCCCAAGAAGTCCAAGTACATGACTCCAATGCAGCAGAAGCTGAACGAGGTGTACGAGGCGGTGAAGAACTACACGGACAAGCGCGGGCGGCGGCTGAGCGCCATCTTCCTGCGGCTGCCCTCGCGCGCCGAGCTGCCCGACTACTACGTCACCATCAAGAAGCCCGTGGACATGGAGAAGATCAGGAGCCACATGATGGCAAATAAATACCAGGACATCGACTCCATGGTGGAGGACTTCGTCATGATGTTCAATAACGCTTGCACGTACAACGAGCCCGAGTCTTTGATTTATAAAGATGCCCTGGTGCTCCACAAGGTTCTGCTTGAAACTCGGAGAGAAATAGAAGGAGATGAGGATTCTCATGTGCCCAATGTCAATTTGCTGATTCAGGAACTTATCCATAACCTCTTTGTATCCGTTATGAGCCACCAGGATGATGAGGGCAGATGCTACAGCGACTCCTTAGCTGAGATTCCTGCTGTTGATCCCAACTTCCCAAATAAACCTCCTCTGACTTTTGATATTATCCGAAAAAATGTTGAAAATAATCGCTATAGAAGATTGGACTTGTTCCAGGAGAACATGTTTGAGGTGCTGGAGAGGGCCCGGAGAATGAACAGGTGAGCAAACCCTTACTTTTCAGGTATCTTTATCACAAGGCTTGCATTTAATGTTAGACAAAGGCTGAAGTTTTTTAAGGTGTTTGCTTTCCTTGATATGGGTGTTTGTAAAACTAAATTTCTAAAGCTCTATCAGGTCTTCAGTGGAACATTTGCTTTGATTTGAAAACAAGGAAGAAGTTAGTTTTCTGCTGAGAGATCATTTTGACAATAATCTTCCAAAGGACACCTCATGACAAAAAGATTCCTACTTACTTTTAAATTGAAAAAGAGAGCTGTTCTCTAGCTGTTCAAATAGTGAATTACTCTTTTGGAGCAGTCACACTTGGTTGAGTTATGGTGCAAAAACTATGAGCACTTGCAACTTCTTTTAGTGTTTTGCTTGAATTCAGTAGCCTTTTTGAGAATGTGCAGGTGAGAGCTTGACTGTGAAGAGAGGAGGTAAAAAATTGTCTTAAAACATCTACTGAGAGGAGTATGGATAGTTAAAATAAGTCAGTTTTGTAAATAGTACTGTTATTATTCGAGTTTTCAGAAGTTAACAGATTGTAGAGGTCCAGTCACAAGTAGCCTTGGTTACAACTAGTTACCTTTGATTTTCCTGGCATTTCAGGACTGGTGTATACCAAAATACTGTTGTGGGTGAACTGTAATGCAGATTGACAGTGGACTAACAGGTGAACCATCACTTAATGCTTCATGGCTTCAAGCCAGTCTCTGCTGCTGCTTTTGAGTAAGCAGAGAAATCCATTGGCAGAGTGAAACTTTCAATTGATCACAGAGTGGTGACTGATGGGTGTGTTTAGGCTCCTGTTTGACCCTGCACAAACTGTGGTTTTACCCTGTTGCTCATGTTTTTATACAGGACTGATTCAGAGATCTATGAGGATGCAGTGGAACTTCAGCAGTTTTTCATTAAAATTCGAGATGAGCTGTGTAAAAATGGAGAGATTCTGCTGTCACCTGCTCTCAGCTACACCACCAAGCATCTTCATAATGATGTAGAAAAGGAAAAGAAGGAAAAGCTGCCCAAAGAAATAGAGGAGGATAAGCTCAAAAGGGAGGAGGAGAAGAGAGGTAGCTACTTTTGTTTCATATATTTTGAATGTACCAAATGAAAAATGTACCCACCCATATAATGTGTTGCTGCAGCTTTGCCGCTGAAAGGACCTCAATAGTCAGCTTGTCCCCCAGTCTTTTATTTTCAAGTTATGAGTGCTTTATTCAGAGGCCAGAGAGCTTTTAAGAAAGAGATGTGGGTAGATATTATCCCTATGTGCACTCTTTAATCAGAATACATTAAGGTACCAGTATTATTTCATGCGTATTATAAAAGAAAACAGTAGTTTTTTACTTCAGCTTTCTGCTGATAATAAACTTAACCATGAATATTCCCATTGACCTTTTAGTAATTTTCTTTTTGACAAGTACTGATGGTGTTGTCTATGATCATGTTTTTAACACTGCTGAAGAACTGAGGTTTGATAAACCTTTTGTGCTTTGGCTACTGTGGATGGGCAGAGGAGTGGACTTGCACTATTTTGTAGGGCATGAAGTGTACCCTGAAGGTCCTTTATTTCACAGTTCCTGGCTGTTTCTGTCTGTGCTCCATTGTGCACTATGTTTAAAGGAATAAATAAGCTCTCCAATTGCACCTTTCCACAGTCAGGAGCACAGCTGTTGGCAATTTTGTCCACAAATCATCTTTCTAACATGGTTGATCTTCCCTCATATATGTCAGCAGCAGTAAAGCCTCCAGGCTCAAAGTGAGGCACTGACATCAAGAATCTCAGCTAATATGGAATTATGACATCACTAACATTGGTTTTCCCTTTTTGAAATAAGAAGCTGAAAAGAGTGAAGACTCCTCTGGATCAGCTGGGCTGTCGAGTTTGCATCGGACCTACAGCCAGGACTGCAGCTTCAAGAACAGCATGTACCACGTGGGGGATTATGTGTATGTGGAGCCTGCAGAGACCAGCCTGCAGCCTCACATTGTCTGCATTGAGAGGCTGTGGGAAGATTCAGCTGGTAAGGGTGTCCTTACTGCAGGAAAACACTGGGGTGAAACTTATATTATTATAATTTCAAGCTTCTGTGATATTTGCATGGACCCCTGTGGCAGGGAGAAATGGTGAATCTGACTCCATGTTCTCAGAAGGCTCATTTATTACTTTGTAATACTATATTATATTAAAGAATACTGTACTATACTAAAGAATACAGAAAGGATACCTACTCAATGCTAAAAAGCTAATAATGAAAACTCGTGAATCTCTCCAGAGACACAGCTTGGCACCAGTTGGCCAAAAAGTCAAAATAACTCACAGCAGAATCCAATGAAACAATCTCCAAACACATTCCACATGAGAAAAACTGAGGAGAAGCAAATAAAATAAGAATTCTTTTCCTTTTCTCTGAGGCTTCTAAGCTTCCCAGGAGAAAAATCCTGGGAGAAGGGATTTTTTCAGAGAATGTGAATGCTACAAGCTTCCAATTTGATTTTTTTTCCTATGTAGATTTTACTTATTTTATTGGCAGAACTGTTTGAACCAGTGAGTATTTTTCTGTTGCTGTTTCTGAGTTCCTTTTTTCTAAAGTATATTGCAAACAGAAAATTCTTGAGACAGCATGGGCTTTTTTTGGTATTCATTTTTGCCTACCCTCAAATTGTAAGCCTTGCAGGGGTGGGATTCTGAATGGGATGGACTCCTTGTAATTTAGGTACAGAAGAGCACTGTTTTTGTGCTGAGAAATCTGAACCAAAGATGGGCACAGGTTTCCTTTGATTTAGAAAAAAAGTACGTTTGTAACTTCTTTATAAATCATTGTTACCAATTTGAGTTTGTCATCATGTAATTTGTCATAGCATAAAGTGAAAGAAATAGTTCTTAAAAAACTGAAAAACAGTTAGCTGAGATTCTTTAAATAATCAGGTTATTGTTGTGTGGATTTCAAAGCCATTTCAAGGCCTGAAAGTCAAGATCTATAAATAAGAGCAAATTTCTCCTTTATTTTGCTGAGTCAGGATTTACTGGAAAAATAACAATTGTCAGGCTTTTTAAAATAACTTGTTTTCCTTTTCTGAAAAGCTGAATATTTTCCTGTTTAAAAGCAGATTGCTCCTAGTATAAATGACTGCATGGCTATTTGATTAATCAGTCAATTGCTAATTGTTCTTACTTGGCTCATGCACTAAAAAAATGTAATTTTACATTTTTTTCTTTCTATCTCCCTTCTCTTTTTTTTTTTTTTTTTTGTTGTTGTTGTTGTTGTTTTCTGTTTTAAAGGAGAGAAATGGCTCTATGGCTGCTGGTTTTATCGACCAAATGAAACTTTTCATCTTGCAACACGAAAATTCCTGGAGAAAGAAGTTTTTAAAAGTGATTATTACAGTAAAGTTCCTGTTAGCAAAATTTTAGGCAAATGTGTGGTCATGTTTGTCAAGGTGAGAGACTGTTCAGACTAATTTATAAAACAAGTCATGCTTTCTGCTGTTTCCTGTAGAGCTGTAGGCACTCTAACATAGAGACATTCCAGTTATACCTAAATAAAATAGGTGTTGCTTCTGTGGGCTGTTTGGATGTTCTTTTCTTCCTGAGATGTGGGGTTCAGCCAGGTGATGGAAGTTCCCTGTGCTGCTTGATTTATGGTTATGGTTCCCCCTGGCTTGGTGAATTGTCCTTTTCCCAATTCAAAGCTCAGAAATCTTGTGAAGATGATTTCAGGCTGCAGAGCTTGTACTTGTTAATGCACTGGATTGGGAAATGAATAAAACCTAACTTTTCTCACATGCCAAGCTGTACTGAATTAGCGCCTTCTCTAAAGGTGGGATTTCTTGTTAGTTGTTATTCTTGGTAAAACTTGGCCATCAAACTGGAACAAGAGAGCTCAGCAAAAAGGCTTCTGACAGAAGCATAGAATAAACTGAAGCCATGAGAGGGAGTTCACTGTGTGTCTGTGGAGTGTGGGTGTTGCTGAAATGTTTCATATTTTTCCTTCAATCTGCAGGAATATTTTAAATTGTGCCCTGAAAACTTCAGAGATGAGGATGTCTACGTGTGTGAGTCGCGCTATTCTGCAAAGACAAAGTCTTTTAAGAAGATTAAACTGTGGACTATGCCTGTGAGCTCTGTCAGATTTGTCCCACGAGATGTGCCCCTGCCTGTGGTCAGAGTTGCTTCTGTGTTTGCCAATACAGACAAAGTAGATGAGGAGAAGCACAGTGAAACACTGGAGGACAGTAAGGTGGGAGAAAGTATCCTTCATCTTGAAAAGGTATGCAAGGGGAACCTTGATTGTATTTGACAGACAGAGAATGATAGAATATTAGCCCTCATGGCTTGGGTTTCACCACATCCAGACACAATGAAATATAAATGAATATAATATTTTTGTTATAAATTATATTACAGACATTTGTAAATTAACACAATCAAAATATAAAAAGACAGAAAATAATCAACTGTGTAAATATTTGTTACCAACCTCTTTCTTGTGATGGGGTTAGTTTGGGTTTTTTACCACTCCAGAAAGTTACACTTTTACTGTAAGGCCTGCCCTAAGCCTAAAGAACCTGTAGAACTGTAAGTTAATTTTAGTTCATGGCAGTGCTGAAATGCTTTGTTGTGTAGCATTTCAGTAAAACAGGCAGTAGCTAGGCAGCAGAAAGTAACACATAATATTCTAATGTTTGTGGCCTGTTTGTGGTTGATAATGAAGTAGTTTGTTGTCAAAATCCTTTAGAATATTTCTGTCTAACATAGTGGATAAAATGGTTCATTTATTGTACCTAGAGTAAGAAAACAAATAAATTTAGGTAAGTGTATTAAAATCAGTTAAATTTAATTAGTTTTGTCTGAAATAAATTTGGAGCCATGAAAAAATAAGAGACTCATAAAATATCATAAATCAATAAAAAACACCCCTGAAAAATCCACTTTGCATTTTCTAATAGAACCTGAGAACACACATTGTCAGCTTTTGCCAGACACCTAGTGTGTGTTAGTATATTTATTCATGGCAAGAGATGTAGTTAATTATACTGAGAGAATGAAAACTCCTAGGATCTTTTCCTTCCATGCCTTGGTGAGACAGCCTGTATTTCCTTGGTGTTCTGGAATCCCGGGCTAAAAGTTGGGCTGAGGCACAATTTGAGTTTTTACTAAAAAGTAAGAAATTAAATAGGGCAGATGGTATGAATTTGTAAGCAGTACATGGAGTGTTCACATTATTGTATAAGACAGTTGAATCATTACATTTTTGTGTCTGTTAGCTTGGCCATATATTCAGTTCTTGCTTCCCAAACACTTTACTGGGCTTTAAACCATCAAAGCTGACAAGATTTGGCTTGGCCAGTTTACTTGGAAGCGCCAGAACAAAAAAAAAGACCTGTAAATTACTATTCTAGCAAAATTAGAGCTGTGTGAGGTAGGAAAGCTTGTGACAGACATGGAGGGTATCTTTGGCTTTGCAGTTTTAATTCAGGAAACTTTTGCACACACATCTCTGCTTAGTCTTTACCTATTATTGTTAACATAAAGATAGAGCAAAACCTTTTACTGATACCTGACATCTCTTTATTTCTGTACTTGGTTTTCCTCCTTCCTCAAGTTTCTAAATGCTTCTTCTCCTGCAGGACAAAGAAGATGTTCCAGTGGAAATGTCCAATGGGGAGCCAGGTTGCCATTACTTTGAGCAGCTCTGCTACAATGACATGTGGCTGAAGGTTGGGGACTGTGTCTTCATCAAATCCCATGGGCTGGTGCGGCCTCGAGTGGGGAGGTAGGGGCAGCTTCTTGTTTGCAGTTTACAGCTGTAAAAATAATTTGGATAAAAGAGGGGCTGGTTGTAAAAAGGTATAAAAGAAGGCGGGGAAAAAAGTGAATGAAGTGTTACAAGGTGTTGATAGATTGAGGGGGAATTTTAGCTGCCTGATAAAAACCTGGTCTGGTTGTACAGTTGAAATTGACTGTTCTGTATTTGTCTTCCACTGATGGTCTTCCTGAATATGCTGCTGCTTCATCTGGGAGAAATGGCCTTTCATTTGTGTTGCTGGCTTGGTTTCTTTGCAGAATTGAGAAGATGTGGGTGCGAGATGGAGCTGCTTATTTCTTTGGTCCAATCTTTATACATCCTGAAGAAACTGAGCATGAGCCAACTAAAATGTTCTACAAGAAGGAGGTGTTTTTGAGTAACTTGGAGGAGACCTGTCCTATGAGTTGCATTTTGGGTAATTATTAACAGCTTTAATCTGATGTACATCTTCTTTTCCTTCCCAATCTGAAGTGATTGATGGCTAGGTGTAGGCTTGATTCCAAGTACATCTTTTTCATTGAGGGAGGGAGGAGATACTATTCAGTGAGTTTGTAATATGCATTCTTACCTGTGGGACCTGTGGTGAGAATTCACTGTTAGGAAGCTTTATTACAATAAGGGAATGACATGTATTATATGAAAGTGAGCATTGCAGGCAGAGAACAGAAAATTCCATTATTCTTGCATATTAATGTAATAACTCCAGCACATATTACCTGCAGAGTTGAAAGGAAGAGTAGGAGGTTGGAATTTGATTTGTTGCAGAAGATGATGGCTGTGTGCTTTGTTTTGGAGTTATGATGCTGTGATAAATACGGTAACTGACAGTTCCATATGAACTGATCATGGGGCCTTGTGATTTTGTGGGTTCTCTAGGTCTTAAAAGCAATCCAAAGGCTGCATTAAGTTGCTGTAGGTTTCTTGTGAGTGGCATTATTTGACTGGAATATCAATTGATGTATTTTCCGTAGTTGTGCCAGGTGCCAGGAATCTTCCACACTTACAAAACAGGCAAAAAAATTGACTTTCCACACTTCTAAAAGAAAACCTGCAAGTGTGGCTGCCTTCTTACCCAGCTCTTTCATTTCTGCAGGAAAGTGTGTCGTTCTGTCATTCAAAGACTTCCTCTCGTGCAGACCAACAGAAATCTCCGAAAACGATGTTTTTCTTTGCGAGAGCCGCTACAACGAAAGCGACAAACAGATGAAGAAATTCAAGGGCTTGAAGAGGTTTTCTCTGTCTGCGAAAGTTGTAGATGATGAAATATACTATTTTAGGTAAAAATGTGAGGGGAATGAGGGAACCTCTTCTGGATTGTAATGGACTGGCAGCTAAGCCCCCACCCAGCCTCTTGGTCTGGAATAGGGGAGAGAATCTGAAGGGCAGAAGGAAGAAAAGCTCCTGGCTCAAGTTAAAAACAGTTGGAAAAATGGAGCAAAGCTACATGCACAAACAGAGCAAGATAGGGAATGAATTCCCTACTTCTCATCAGCAGGCAGATGTTCAGCTGTTTCCTGCAAAGCAGGGCTTTGGCACCTGTAATGGGTGTTACTGGGAAAGACAAATGCCATAACCCTGAATGTACCCTGTCCTCTCCTTCTCCCCATATTTTATTGCTCAGCACAGTGTCAGAGTATGGAATATCTCCTTGGCTGGTTTGGCTTAGCTGTCCTGGTTGTCTCCTCTCCCAAATCACTGCTCAGCCCCAGCCTGCTGGGGCACAGAATGGGGAAAAGGAAAGGCCTTGAGGCTGATCTGTTCACACTAATTACAGCAGGATGTGTTATCCACCCTGTTGTCTCACACATCCAAAACAAGGCACCTCTCAGCTGCTGTGCAGGGAATTAACCCCCATCCCAGCCTGACCCAGGACATCCACAGAGGTCAGAGGTGTAATTTCAGATAACCACACTCTTGGGAAGAAATGCAGATAGCATCAGTCTTTTTATGGTCTTAATACCAATGGGTGTTTTCTTTTTCTTCCTCTGACTTAAAGAAAAGTCTTTATCAGATTGGTACATTTTCTTGGATATTGTGAAAATACTTAAGTCCTCATTATGAGTAGGGAAAATCTTTTGGTGAACATTCATTTTAATAAAATAAGAATGTTGAGTTCTCACTTAAGTAAAATGTGAAATCTAAGGAAGCTGTGGTGTTAATTTCTACAATAGAAGGCAATTAAGTACTTGTATTGAAATCTCCTTCTTACTCATAAAAAATCCTTCTGACAAGTGACTGAAATGAACACTGGCCATAGACACAAAATTGATTCTGCTAAGGGTTGTCAAAGGAAGCTTAGGCACATCTCAAGTCACCTTTGTTTCTATACTGTTCAGTCAAAAATTAAGAAAAGTTGATTTTTCTCTTCAAAAAACAAGTTCTTTCACCAGTAAGGTATGAGTCTGTTCTCAGCTGCTTTTTATCTTCCTCCTCCACCTTCCAGAAAACCCATAGTTCCTCAGAAAGAGCCATCTCCTCTCCTGGAAAAGAAGATTCAGCAGCTGGAAGCAAAGTTTGCAGAGTTGGAAGGAGGTGATGAGGACATGGAGGAGATGGGAGAAGAGGAAGGTGACATGACTGAAACACCTTCTATGCCTCAGCTTCAGGCCCCCTTAGCCAGTGATTTGGATATAATGCCTTATACTCCACCCCAGGTAAGGACTTTGCTTCAGGAGCCCTTAAACCTTGATAGTCCACATTCTTTTCCCAATCCAAATGAAGAAAGTAACATTTTATATACAAAAAAAGGATTTATACTGAAGTTTACAAGTGTACTGAGTAAATGACACAAAACAATGTTGACATGTGCAAAATGATATCCAGGTGATAGTGTTTCATTCCATTAAAATATTTTTAAAGGAGGTCATTCAGCTGAGGAAAATCCAGGGTACATTTTTATGTCTTAGTATTATTTCTAATAATAGGATTTTCTGTGACACTTGTTCAGAAGTATCAGGTCTTTATATAAAATTCAAATACAAATTTTCTTACACAAGGCCTGGAATTTGTGTAACTTAGTGTGGAAGCAGAGTGAGGAACTATGTTAGCTGGAAATTCAACTAACCAAAAAAGTTTCTTGGCAACTGGATTAAACCCTGTATCTGTGTCACCACACTCCCACATCCAAGCTAATGCCAACCAATCTTAAAGAGGCAATGGGAATGATCTGCTGGGAACAGGAGGGAGTTCCAGACTCTTTTGGGACCAGCAGTGTGGATTTCTGCTGCATTACATTGAAAGGAGGTCACCCTGGGGTAGAAATGTCTTTGGATGTTGTGATAGTTGCTGAAGTTGAAAACTTTTGCCTGGTTTGAGTGTGATGTTTTGCCACATGGGCAGCCACCAAATGCATTTTCCCTTGCAAGGTTGCTCACTGCTCTTGTTGAACATGCTGAATTTTATAAGCAACTTGAAAATTCTTAAAGATTATTCCAGCAGAAGTGGAATTTTATCTAGCAACTGTTAAACCCCAGAACTTTTAAACTTTTTTTTCTTCTGCCAACAAAGAAGCTCTTGTAACACCCAAGAGGAGACAAGACAAGTGACTGTGGTGTTGTGGGGCTTGGCAGATAGGTGGGTGATGCTTTCCTGCTGCAGTTTGTTGTGAATCAAGTCAAAGTACTTAAAAAAAAGATGTGCAGCTTCATTGTTTGCTTCAGCAATGGCTAAGATAAGGCATGAAAGAGGGTCCTGGTTGGTTTCTTCTTTTAATAAGTCTGAAAGTAAATACACAGTTATCTGGCTCCAATGGAGAAGACTTCTTTTAAAAACATGTGGATGGGAGATGGAAAAGAACAGAGAATGCAGGAACCACATTTGGAATTCTTAGGATTTCTCCAAGTCCTGTTTGCCCTTCCAAACTGATGGGAAGGCTTTTTCATTAGGTTACTGTTATCAAAACTGTTGCAAGAACTATATAGTTAAAAACAGCTGGTAAACTTGTAGCTCTCTATTTGCAGATGTATCAAAGGCCAAAAGTGTAATTAGATTTCCTTCTCTTTGGTTTGAGAACTCTCCATGTGCCTCTGTGGCTTGCCCAAGAAGCCAGGATGGAATTGTATCTGCCCTGTGTACCATCCCAAACCCTGTGAGGAGTTTTCTTCACTTCCCCCAGTCTTTATGTTCATAATGAAAACTTCAAGGGTGGATTGCAAGTTAGTACAGTGAAGTTTGGAATTACATTTAAATGGGCCTCACTTAATCTTGTTTAAATTGATAAGCAAGAGTGTTTAAGCATCTTGGTATTACTAAAGCTTTATTTTTAGCTGAGAGGAGACTGTTGAACTGTGGAGTCAAAGCAACAAGTAGGAGGAGTCAGTAACATGGTCAGAATTTCAGGAGAAGAAGGAAACAGTTAAATGTATTTTTGTTTCCTTTTTTGCCTCCACCAGGTACTTGGAAACAATGGCACTTTTCAAGATGTGACAGATTTGTAATGTTTGGGGTGTGAGAAAGGCCTTCAGAGGGTTTTGATGTGATGATACCTTTATGGGTCATGCTGGTCAGAGTATGGATGAATTATGGTCTCCTAGCAAAAAGAGAGGTGGAAGGGCCTTCAAAAAGGAGCTCCAGCTGTGGTATCTCAGTATTGAGATGACAGAATGGGTTCATGTTTTGGTGGCTGAAAACATCAAGGAGCTCTCACTGGGGGCGTCCATAGCAGAAAAGCAAAGGAGCAGAATTTTTGTTGCTCACCAACATAAGACCATGATGGGAATCTGTGGTGCAGGTAAATGGTGATCAACAAAACTGGGCTTTGGTTTTTCAGGAACAAACAGCTACTTATTTAATGAGAAGTGAACACTGGAGGAAAAGGAAGATCTGGCAGGCAAAATAACATTTAGAAGGTGGAATGAGGGAGAGTAGGGATTGTAAAGGCAAAGGAGGAAGTGGGGAAGCATTTTTCTAAAATGTGAGGTGGCAAATAAAATATTTTACTCAACTCGTGTTGGCAACATCTCTGAACAGCTCAATGGAGGAAATCTGTGCCATGACACAATTCCTTTTGTTCTCTTCTGGCCTTCTCTTTTGTACACTTGTGGTCATAACTGCTTTTTCTCACAGTCCACTCCCAAGTCTGTTAAGGGCAGCACCAAGAAGGAGGGATCAAAAAGGAAGATCAACATGAGTGGGTACATCTTGTTTAGCAGCGAGATGAGAGCTGTGATTAAAGCTCAGCACCCAGACTACTCCTTTGGAGAGCTCAGCAGACTTGTAGGAACTGAGTGGAGAAATTTGGAAGCAAACAAGAAAGCAGAATATGAAGGTAAGTAAAAACTGAGATGCTGAACTCTTTTCTGCCTTTTTTCTTTCTCAACACTTTCTGTTGTTCAGATGACAGGTTTAATAAAAGAAAATATTTATATTTGTGTTCTGGATGTACCTTAAAGAGAAGTTCATACTGAGAGATGGCTGAAGAGGAGCAAAGAGCATATTTCAGTTATGTAGAGCACAACTGATAATTTAAATGTCTTTGCCACAAATAACCAAATTAGCAAATTCCCAGAAAAGGGGGACAAATTAGAAGTAAAGGGGTATGGAGCTCCTGGGCTAGAAGTCAGTTGGAAAAATATTTTGTCAATGTTTCCTTAAAGAAGGACTGAGGGGTATTTTGGAGAAGAAGCTCTTGAGAACTGTAGCAGCAGGTAAGAAAGGCTTACAGGGGAGTGGGGGAAAGTTCATTATTAGCAGTACTTAGAGTCCTAAAGGCTGTGTACTGTACTGTAAATATGACCTGTTGTTCAGTACAACTGAACATCAACTGTTGTAACTCATTTTCTTGAGAGATTTTGTATCCTGAAGTAGGCCTAGGAATATTTCATAATCATGAGATACTTTAGACCTATCTTTCTCCCCTTTCCCCCCTTCTTTTCCTCAGTTCCTTCCCTCCTTTCCTTTCTTTGCCTTCCTCCTTTTCTTCCCTCCCTCCTTTCCTTCCATTTCTTCCCTCCCTTCTGATAAATAGTCACTGTGTTTTAACTTTTATTTGATTGAAATAAAATACAGCTGATCTTTAACAGCCAGCCCTTACCCAAGCCAAACACATGGGTTTAACATCCATAGTTACTTCTCTAGTTAATAGCATGTCAACGCTATTAACCACTGTATTGATGCAACTTTATTTTTAAAAAATGCTCCTTTGCATAGGAACATTTCAACACCTGGGAAAGTTATGGCCCAGTTCAGTTCTAACTTTGAAAATGAGATTTGATAGGTTTTCTGCACACTCCTAACTTAAAGGCAGCTTTGATCTTGAGGCTGGAAGCTTGCATGCTGTCACTGTCCACTCTCAGCCACCTCAGTCCTTTCTGATTTTCAGTAGCACCTCTTTGCAGCTCTGGAGGGAAGCACAGCACCCTTTGCTCTGTGCAGGTTTGCTTTGCAGATGCTGAGAAGGGAAATGGTAATGCTCTTTCCTTGTGACACTGCTGGGGCCTTACTTTGTTCTGTAGCTGTTTCCTTTTACACCCTTCTAGGTGCATGTGTGATCTTTTTATTGGCAGATGCCTCCTTACAGCTTCATCCTTCAGCAGGAGGATGGCTGGCATGTCACTGCTTCCTTGCTTAGAGCAGCTTGAAGTCCTGCACTTCTGCAGGAAGGCTCTGTTTGTCCACCATGTTAATGACTGTCTGTGTGCTTCCATTTGAATCTTCCTTCTCTATTCAAATTTTCCAAAGCTTTTGGGGTTTGAGCTGCAGTTTCCCTGGCTTGGTGTCTGCCCTGAACTAGAGTTTTACTTGGTTTTGAGGGGTTGGGATGGGGTAACATAGTGTCCAAAATGTGTTTGCTTACCGTGTGTGAAAGGAGAGAAACTCTATTCCTTCCACTGTGGTGAGTCAGAATTCAGGTGTTCCCTGGTGTGGATGTGAACCAGGGAGCAGGGAGTGGGCATGGTTTGACATCTCAGTGAAAAAAAGGGTGTTGCCATTTTCTGGTGAGAAGTAGTTTACATTTTAGATCCACTTTGACCCACTGAAAATTTTGTTTGGTTTATGTTCAGGGTATTAGTTGATTTTCTAGCAATAGTTGAGAAGAGGCTGTGTTGGAAGTGCCTGCGTGGCTGAATAAAGTAAAATAAAAGGGATTGAAGGAAAGGCCTGTTGTAAGGAAAAGCTCTGTTCACAGCAGAAGGTCTCTTCCCTGTCTCTTGAGATGTGATGGAAATGTTTGAATTATCTCAAGTCCTGGCCTATGTGATTTGGGTTTATTATTGAGTTTTAGGGTGAATGCTTTAGGCTGAACTTTCAGATATCTCCTCCAGTTCCCTTTGGCAGTGTTATTCCATTTGTGACTTCTGTGGCAGTCGGCATGGAAAGGGGCTAGGTAAAGCTTGAGTACTGTCCTATGTCAGGTCCTTCTTCAAACCTCAGCACTCTGAAGTCTGATAAAGCTGAACACTTAGCAGTAATTTCTCATTCATCAGAGTGTCTCTTTTGCCTCTTTTGTCTGACAATTTTTTGTTTTTTAGCTGGCCAAAAATAGGTGAGAGTCAGAACAACTGCTTCATCTTTTCCCAAAGTGCTTGCTGTGCTCTGGAGAGGATTTTCTCATTTTTTTACTTCAGGATCTGCCTTTAAATATCTTGTGTATTTTATGCTCAACTGCATCTGAGTTGCCTGTATAAATGTAGGAGTTTCTCTGCGTTGTCATCACTGCGTGAAATTGCAGAAGTGGGAAGAAGGAAGGAAATGCCTTTGGAAATGAAACTGGTCTTTGAGTGTATGGAAGTAGTGCTAGAAGCTGCACAAACAGGCTCTAGAGGAAAAGTGTGGTAGATGTTCAATGTCCTAGAGGAGGCAAGTAACACTAGCAGGATGCATAACTTAATCTCCTTGATGAACTTCTTCTTAGCCTTCGTTTGACAGAGGACCTTGATTGCTGGTTTAGTGCAGTTTCCATCTTTCACCAACTGCAAGAGAGAACTCATGGCCCTGCATTCATTGTTGTTGAAAATTGCTGGAGATGTATTCTGCATCCATTTATTCTTCCTTGTTCCTCATTGTGCCAGTCAGACACAACGTTCAGAGTAAACGAAGCAGGAACTTGCATGCCCCCAAAGCACCTGGAGTGGGCATTCAGTATTTCTCCTTTTTTGTTTGCTTGGGTTTTGTTTTTTTTTTCTTTCTTCTTCCCATGACCCTTTGCCCTTCCCTTAATATAAAATTGTCCTCTGGTCAGATTACCCTGCAGTAGATCTTTTGTTCTTGCAGTCACAGTGAGAGACTTGATTGAGATAATGACCAGATTCATCGTACAAAGGACACACATGACCTCCAGTGAGCAGCACAATGTGAGTTAGACATCTTCAGAAAAACAAGTAACTCATAGGGGACCAAACGGGGAAATGACAGAAAGAGGCAGAGAAAAATATTTTTGGCTTGTCAAACTGCTGCTTGTTATGTTCCAAAAGCTAAGGACCAATCTGCACTAGGGAAACTTTACAAGTGCTCCCCTATTTTGCCACCACTCTTCAGCTGCATCAGTAGTAAAATACATGGGGAGCCCAGAAATGACCATGCCACCAGCTGGCACTGCTGTCTGCTCTTTGCAGCATTCTTTAGGGCACACCTGGCACACATGGGGCTTCAGTTCCCACAGCAGCTGGTAGAGGATCCACCCAAGAGCTGCTGGCCTTGGCTGCAGCTGGTTTGGCTGAGCCAGTGGTGTCAAAACAGGGAATGTTTTCCCATGTCCTAGTGCGGACTGAGCCTAGTGCTGGACTGCTGCTTCATGTTGGTAACACTGGTGTTATTATCATCAAATTTGTTCTTTTAATTTTTAAAAAATTTTATTTTATTATTTATTTTAATTATTATTTTTTTTAGAAAGAGGTAAAACTTTGTGGAATATTTTTCATGAAAGGTTCTCTAAAAGTCTTAGCTGCAGCCACATGAAATCAAATCATATGCTGTATAAAAAAGATTCATCTGTTCTACTTTATATTTGACTAAACTATGCCAGTGTCTGACTAGTCCTTTTTAATGAACAGATAATATTTTGAAAGTCTGGGTTACAAAACAGAACTGAAAATCTAAAATACTTTTACAGAGCGGGCAGCTAAAGTTGCTGAGCAGCAGGAGAGAGAGCGAGCAGCACAGCAGCAGAATTCCTCCCCCCGGGCAGGCACTCCTGTCGGGGCTCTTATGGGGGTGGTGCCGCCACCAACACCAATGGGAATGCTCAATCAGCAGTTGACACCCGTTGCAGGTAAAACGTAGGAGCTATGACCATTTTTTCCTCATCCACTTTATCAACCCCCCTTCATAACTCTGAACAAACACTCTCTTGGGTCACGTTGGAAGCAAAAGCTCAAACTCTTCAGTCCTTCTTCATGATGAACGTGCCTAGTGCAGCAGTGGCCTGGTGTCCAGGGAAGCAGGGTCCTCCTCGTGCAGTGCTCCTGTTCTGGTGGTGTGCAGTCGTGTTTATTCACTCTGCCTTGCAGAGTTCACCTTCAGCCCTGCTGTGGCAGGAGGCCAGCAGCTAAATAGTCTTCTAGTGCATGCAGCATCTGTGGCAGTGCTAAAGCAGGAGGGAAATTGTTGGGGGCTTAATGATCAGGGAGGTGAGAGGCCAACAGAGTCTAACCCAGATTTTAAATCCAAGCAAAAGCTTTGTAGAATTGCCTCCTAGGCACTGGTAAGCAGAGCAGAGCAGGATCTAGAGCCGTTGCAGAAACAAAGACAAAATGACAACATTGCTGGTTTTATCAGGTTATTTTTCAGAATAGAACTGAGCTTGGAGAACTCTTCCACGAGGTCCCTGTTGCTGGGTGTTGAGCTCCTTACCAGTTGTAATCCGGCTTGATTTCATAGGGAGTATGCTCAGAGTAAGTATTTTCAGGATCAGATCTGAAGACAATGTAGCCCACTGAAGATTCTTGTATGGAAATAAGCCATACATGGGTGAGAAAATTAATTAGGTGTGACCTGATAGGTTGTTTTCCTTCCCCGGTTTCTAATTAAAATAAGAATTAAATTGCTTCAGTCAAGATCAAAATAGTGTTGAGTAGATAAAAATGAGTATTTGGAGGGTTCTGGGTTTGAATTTGGGGTCTTTTTAACTTTCCCTTAAGACATTCCAATTATTCCATTTATTCTTTTGTCATTTTTCTTTTTCTTTCTCATCTCACAGGCTGTGGCCTTATTTCAAGCTGACAGCCTGAAGCGCTTTTCATCACAATCTCTAAATCCCCTTTCAGTAAATAGGCTGCATGGATGTTTAACTGAAGGCACATTCCTTAGTTGGTTCATGATCTCCAGGTTATAAAGCATTTATTTACACTGAGTTGTGTTTTTCTTTTGGCTTTTTTTCACTCTGTTCATGGTAATTTCCCTCTGAACTGTTTGCAGTTGGTGTATGTTTGTGTGTGTGTGTACACTTATCTGTGCATATATTAAGAAAAAGGAGGGGGAAAAAAGAGTTTCCCAGTGCTAATCTCTTTTGTGAATAATTTACTTCAATCTAGAATATGTAGAAATAACATCCTCTTGTGGTTGTTTTCTTAGTTTGGTGCTTGGGTTTTTTGGCACTGAGTCACTTTTCCAGTTTTTGGAGGCAGGTGCTGATGGATGGTGGTACTTGCTGTTAACACTTCCTTAAAACTTACCCAAAAATGTGCATTCTGCCAGCTACACATGCTACCTTATTTCCTGTGGCAGCAAAACTCTGTTTCAGGCCATTGTCTTATTCGAGCAGGTCAACACTCAAGAGTCTTCACTTTGGCTTTGGGAAATATTTCCTTAAAATAGATGATGGAGCAGATCCTTTTAAACTCCTTCTCCTTCTGTGGCCCATTAGAAAAACACAATCTTTCATCTTTTGGTTTTCACAAGTCCTACTTGGAAGTATCTTGTTCTGTTTGGACCTCTTTGACATCCTCCTCCATCCTTGGATTGCTAGTTCAGAGAGCTTCTCCATCACAGAACTTCTTTATGGCCCATGGGGCCAGGAAATCTGGAAGCCTTCTGAAGTTTGTTTCTCTTAGTGTGCAGCACTTTGGTGTCTTCTACATTAAGTTATTGCAAAAGTTTACTTAATCTTATATTGCTATAATAAGAAAACAGGAGAACAAGTAATTTCAAAGACATCCTAAATCACAGTTGTGGGAGCTGGAAATAGTTTGGCCATGTTTGGTAGTTTAAAATAAAAGTTTGCAGTTAATACATGGGGTAAGAAAATGGTTTCTCTTGCTTGGAAAGAGCTACAAGAAATGATTTCTCATGGAGGTTTGATGGCACCTTTATTAGCCAATTGTTGAGTATTTTAATTGGAAATGTAGAACTAAGTTTCCATGATTGATAAATGTGGGTTTGATTTCTTGGAGAGTTTTCTGTTTGTTTGAAAGCTTCAGAAGTGCATTAACTGCTCTGAAGAGGTGTCAGCAGCTCACGTGCACTGGAGGGACCAGGCAGTAGCTACAGTGTGAGAGCTCTTCATGCCAAGGAGGCTTTTGTTGTGTTTCTTCTTTTCCTTTCTCCCTTAGATACATGGATTGCCCTGTAATAAAGAGGTACAGATAAGGTTCCAGATATTTGAAATAGGTACCTACAGCATATTTCACATAACAGTCTTGGTGCCCTGTGGAAAATGAGGTCTCAAGGGAGATTAGTTCTTTATTTTCTTGTTGTTTTCTCCATGCAAAGCTTTTGGGATTAGAGGTTTCTCACTTCTATAACATCCTGAGGAAGTGACAGGTTTAGCTTTTATTTTGTAGCTGCTCTCCCTATTTAGACCCTGAGCTTGTTACAGCTTTGTTCTCAGTCAGAACTAATGAGAGTTTTTGACCAGTCTCATTCCAGAAATCTCTGTTTTGAAAGTTCCTTCTGTGAATTACAGGGAGTGTGGCAAAGGCTTGGTGGTTTCTTAGAGCAGACTGTAGATGCCCCAGCAAATCTGCATTTCTAACTAACCTCATCTCTCTAGACCTGCTTCTGTCCTCTGTCATCTTTTCATTGTCTTTCCAACCCCTTTCCTTGCTTACCTGGCAATGCATCCATTTAAATTAAACATTCCAGGGCCTAACAAGCATAGTGCAGTTACATGGACAGCAGAAAATCTGAGCCAAAGCCAGAGAAAGCTCTCAGTTTTCTTCCTGTACATGCAGAAAGCAAAATTATTGAGCAGCAGCACAATACAGTGTTTGCAGTGTCACTGATTTTCCTCTAAAGACACCTTGCAGACATGGACAGTGGAATTCTGTGAGGGACTGCAGGTGCTCCTTTAAGTCCTTCAGTCTAATGCCGTGAGTGTAACGTACTGCAGCCCAGCACTTTAAACCCACGTTTAAAATTTGTGTTACTGCTTTAGTTCATTCTGGAGACGGTTTAATAAAAATCACCCATCACTGACATTAGTTTCAAGTATGTGAATGTTGTAGGGCTTTTGTGCATCAGTTTTGCATGTGTACTGCAGGAACATGTCTGGGGTTTATTTTTGTGGCCTCTGAAGCAGCCCACAGAGCAGGGCTGGCCATGGGGCTGGCCAGTCAGTGTTGTGTTTGTAATCTGTATGCAGATGGCAGAGCTTTAAGCTGTATTAAAACTGCTTGCATTAGTAACATTTAACTGTGGCTGAATTTATTCCTTGTGTTAACATATCTGAGTATTCAACATTTATTGCCCTGTGAGAAGCCTACAAATACACTAAATACTAATTCATCAAAAGTATAGTGTTTCAAATTTATTTTTAGTTTTTGTTTTTGTTTTTTTTTTTTTGCAAGATACTAATTGTAGTGTTGTCTTGCTGTACTAAAGGTGCTTTTTTTTGTGTGTGTGTGTGGATAGTGCATGTCTGTGCATACTGTGTAGACCATATTGCATGTTATTGATGCATGTTTGAAATTTGTTGTGTCCTTCAAGGCATGATAAGTGGCTATCCACCGGTGCTGCCACCTTTGCAGGGCCCAGTTGATGGCATTGTTAGCATGGGCAGCATGCAGCCACTTCACCCAGGGGTGCCCCCACCCCACCAACTCCCGCCAGGTATGCCAGGCATCCCAGGCATCCCAGCACCCGGTAAGAGCCTCATCCTCATTCCCTCTTTATTTCATTGTCATGTACTTGGTTTGACCCATTCTTACAGGAGTTCTCTGCAGCTTGTTGTGGTTGTGCCTTTGGTTTGTGAGCAGCAGCACTGCTGAATGTGAGGGCAAAGCACTGACACTGCAGCATGGCCTGTAAACCCTCAGGGAGAGGGTGCTGGAGAAACTGGTGCTGCTCCAGCAGGAGGTTTGTTCCAGCCAAAAAAGCCTTGGTAATTGTACTTGAGTTTATCAGAAGTGTGAAAAGGTGAAATCAGCCTGTTCATATCCTTATGTCATTTGAAGTGTCTCTACACTTATCCTTTTCTTATTTGAAGTGAGCTTATAAATGAAATTTATTGTTCTCTTTCCTTACCAGAGTCTTTTTCAGTGTGTTAATGTCAGACTGCACTGAAGTGAGCCTGGTCATGTGAGACTCCTTGGCCACTGGGGCAGTGATGTGTTACTGTAAAACAATGTTCAGCTTAAAGCTTGCTGATGAAACAGTGACTAGAAACACGTGTGAATTCAGTATTCTCTGTGGCCAAATTTTGAACTGATTTTTGAGAGCATTTCTACTGCATTTACTGTATTTCTGCCACACTTTCGAAGAAAAGTGAGACTTAAATGAAAAAAATATTTTGCCAGTGTTAATGCCATTAATGTGTCCCAATTAAGGGGAAAAACATTCATTTGCCCTCTCTTCCTGTTTTTTGCTGATTCATTTATTACCTCTGATAACTCATGTGCCTGTGAGAAAGATGTGCCATCCCTCTGTTCAGCAGTAAAGCTGTGGACAAAATGGTCTCATTTTCCTCTCCCTACCCCCTTGCAAGTGTGTTTATCAGAAGCTCTGTTAAGAATTTTATGAATCTGTACATAAATGATGTGAGTTGGGGAGGTTTTGTTTGCTTGCCTGGTGTTTCTGAAGTCCATCAGCACCACCCTGCAGCTGTGGATTCCCTGCCATGGCACCTAGAGGGAGCAGCACACAGCAGCCAAACGTGTGGGAGGTGAATCCAGGACACTGCATCCCTCTGAAGGGCTGTTCCCGCTGCCGTGGGCTGGATGTTTGTGTGGAAAACTGACAGGATGTGCATTAGCAAAGAAACAATGTCTGGGAGTGGAGTGGTGCTGAGCTGGGCACAGCAGGCTGAGGGTGAAGCTGTGCTCTGATGCTGGGAAGGGGAGGGTGCCCTCCTCCAGAGCCCTTCCTTCCCTTTGGACCAGTTCCAAGGCTTGTGTTGGCAATGTTTTTCCCAACTTCTGACAGATACATTTAAAATGGGAGCTGTGATCAAATGGAAAGTGCACTTGAAAAACCCTTTAGTGAGTGAAACCCAGTGGCACATCCTTTGATCACTGATACAGAAATCATGCATTTAATTCATGGAAATTAAACCTCAGGAAGAGCACAGTTAGTCTGCAGCTTTTCCAATGAATGAGCATGAGAAGTGGCACAAACAGAAAGAAAAGCAGCAGCACACATAACTTTCAAGCATCTCTATGTCAAATGTCAGGAACTGCATGACTCATTTAGATCTGTACATTTTTATATGTAGGACTGACACAGTTGTGCTGCACTCTGTGCAGCAGGGAGAAGTCCCAATATGCTTGAGAAAAACAGCTTTTTTTTTTTGACATTGATTTCAAATATTCATTGTTCTGTATTTAAGGCTATTGAAGCTTAACCTGCAAGTTGCAGTTTGTATTAGTGAGAAGAAACAGAATTTGGGCAAAGGCTTGAATTTTATCCTGCTGTGAAAATATTTTACAAAACTGAACATAAGGAAATGTTAAATGTTGCTAAAGCAGATCAGCATTTCCTTTCTTAAAGGAAAGGACTTCAGGAAGATCCTGTGTAGCCAAATATATTATAAATGAAAAGATACAGTCAGGCAATCACTAAGTGACATGAAAAACACCTGAAAAGCAAAACCTATTCAGTGTGCATTTCTCTAACTTAAATAATTCAACAGGCCACAAATCAATGTTTGGTAGTTGTCATGTTGGCTTTTTTTTTTTTCATTCAGAAACTTGTGAAGTTTTTTATTAGGGGTGAGGGGGGTATTTGAATGTTGTACGTCTACTTAAAATAACTGTGAGCAGTGATATCAAAGTATAAATTCTGCTATTGAAGACCAAAGAGGTATTTATCACTGCTCTGAAGTAAGACTAATTATTTTATATTTTGGAATATAGGTGTTATAGGCCAAAATGTGTCCCCTATGGTAGGCACTCCAGCACCAGGAGCAAGTCCTTTTGGACAGCAGGTGAGTCATTTTTGTTTTGTTTATGAGGCTCTAAGGCTCAGAATTGTCACTTGAGCAACATCCCAGTTCAGACATGTAGGGATGCACATAGGCTTTCCCAGGGAGAACAGAAATGAAATATTCTGATGTGTTTAGAACCAGTTAATATCTCATACTCAGAGTGTGTATCTGTATTTGTTGGTGGAATTGTTGTTACAGTCAGGAGGTTGGTCCAGTGAGGTAATTTCAGTATAAACAAGGCAGTGTTTTGTCTTAGTTTTCTACTGAACTGAGTCATTTCAGCATAGTGTGAAAATGCTGATAGTTTAGGTTTTGTGTGCTTTGTGACACAGAGAGGACACTGCCCATTTTATCAGCTCTTGATGAATAGGTAAAAAATATTCATATTTCACAAACTGGCGAAGCAAATGTTCATTTGCAGTTCAGAATTTATGAGTTTGGGTAACTGTGATGATCTGATGTTTCTTCTCAGTGATTAATGCAGATTTACTGTTTGGAACATTCCAAATTTTACTGACCAAATTTTTGCATCATTTGTAAAGAAAAGGAATGAGGGTGGCTATGCATGGGCAGATAGTGGTAGGAGGCAGGGGAATAGTTTTAAACTAAAAGAGGACATGTTTAGCTTAGGTGCTGGGAGGAAGCTATTTATTCAGAGGCACTGACACAGGGTGCCCAGAGAAGCTGTGGCTGCCCCACCCCTGGAGTCATTTAAGGCCAGGTTGGGTGGGGCTTGGAGTGATCGGGTCTAGTGGAAGGTGTCTCTGCACATGGCAGAGGGTTGGAATAGGATGAGCTTTAAGGCCTCTTTCAACCCAAACTATTCTGTGATTCTATGAGTACCAGAAGTTAAGTGGTAAAGTGTTGATGTCATGACATTGAGTTATTCCAGACCACAGGATGTCTGTCCTAAGAATTCTCAGTGCTGCTGGGCTGCTGGTTAAGCACAGTGGTGGGAATTCTTCTGTAGGACTGGGAATTTTCCTGCCTGAAATTTCTGCCTGACAGAGATTCTGCTGAGGTAACCCAGTTGTCCAAGGATCCATATCAGTTTGGATTAGATGTTTTAGAGTTAATTTTTGCACTTCACAGACCACAGTATTTCAGATCAAATTGGAGAAGAAATGAAACAAAAAGGAGATTAGGTGTAATTAGGGTTAGAAAAGATATGGTGATGATAACGAGTGTGACAGTTTTCACAGGGGTCTGAGGATGAGGGAAGAGATGAGGATCTGACTCCATGTTTCAGAAGGCTTGATTTTTGATTTTATTATATATATTATATTAAAACTATACTAAAAGAATAGGAGAAGGATTTCATCAGAAGGCTAGAAAAGAATAGGAAAAGAATGATAGCAAAGGCTTGTGACTGACTGAGACAGTTCGGACAGCTGGACTGTGATTGGCCATTAATTAGAAACAGCCACATGAAACCAATCACAGATGCACCTGTTGCATTCCACAGCAGCAGATAATCATTGTTTGCATTTTGTTCCTGAGGCTTCTCAGCTTCTCAGGAGGAAAAAATCCTAAGGAAAGGATTTTTCAGAAAATAACATGGCTACAAATGAGAGTATATTTACATAAATCAGAAATATGAACAATGTCTGTTGAGTATGAATGGTTGGTTTGCACTTCCTTTCTCCGTGCATCTCCAGGAAAATTTCCTCAGGCTTTTGCACATAACCTCAGTTGAAACTCCATTGCAGGAGGCTGCCCCGAGGCTGGGGTGTTGCCTGCAGTGCCCTGGGTGTGAGCCCTGGCTGGTTTCCCTTTCAGATCGGGATCCTGGGCCCGCCGGGCCAGCAGGCGCCGCCGCCGTACCCCGGGCAGAGCCCCGCCAGCCAGCCCGTCATGCAGCAGCCCAGCACGCCCATGTTCGTGTCCCCGCCACCAAAGACACAGAGGCTCCTCCATTCTGAAGCCTACCTGAAATACATTGAGGGGCTCAGTGCTGAGTCCAACAGCATCAGCAAGTGGGACCAGACCCTTGCAGGTAAGGCTTTGGGTTCCTCGTAACCTGTTGTTTTTACTTTCATAGAAAACGCTATCTGCTGTTTGCTTATTAAAATATATACAATGTATTTAAATATATACATGTATTATTACATGTATTAAAATATATACATGTAGTTAATTCCTAAAGACAGATCAACAGATTGAGAATATGTGTGTTATCCACAGGCAAGTTCCACCAGTGTTGCATAAACCTAAGAATCAATGGTATGGGCTTAAATATAGGAGCAAGAGTAGAACATCTTATATTGTAGAGTTACATTTGCCTTTCTCTATAATAAGGTGCTGTATTGCACCAAGTAGTTATTTAGTTGTTTGCACGGGGTATTTTGGTAATTTGCACTGTTCACATGATTTGTATTCTAGGACCTCATGGTCTTCCCCTTTTTTCCCCCCTAAATGTTAGCCCTGGTGGTCTCTCTTTCTTCCCTGGTCAGTCCTTCCCCCTGCCCATCCCCACTTATATCCCATTGCTTGTGTGTGACTGTGTTCACAGGGGTCTGAGGATGAGGGAAAAGACAAGGATCTGACTCCATGTTTCAGAAGGCTTATTATTTTATGATATATATTATATTAAAACTATACTACAAGAATAGAAGAAAGGATTTCATCAGAAGGCTAGCTAAGAATAGAAAAAGAAAGAATGATAACAAAGGCTTGTGTTTCGGACAGAAAGTCCGAGCTAGCTGGGCTGTGATTGGCCATTAATTAGAAACAAGTCTATGAGACCAATCACAGATGCACCTGTTGCATTCCACAGCAGCAGATAACCATTGTTTACATTTTGTTCCTGAGGCCTCTCAGCTTCTCAGGAGGAAAAAATCCCAAGGAAAGGATTTTTCATAAAAGGTGTGTGTGACACTTGTGGGCCTCCTCCGGGGTATAAGAGTCATGTTCTCCTCCCCCCTGCCATCAGGTCATGCCCTCCTTCTCACTTGGGGAGGCACCAGAGCCTGAGGTGTCTCCTCCCAAGTCAATAATCAGAGGACATTTGTCCCCACACGGAAAAGAGCGCTTCTGGTCTTTTGCATTGTCTGTGTAAGGCCACATGGGCCGGGTCAGTAGCTGGCCGGAGCGGACACGGTGTGACAGTGAGGTAATGGAGCCCTTGTTGGTTTTGCAGCACGCAGACGGGACGTGCACCTGTCCAAGGAGCAGGAGAGCCGCCTGCCCTCGCACTGGCTCAAGAGCAAGGGTGCCCACACCACCATGGCCGACGCGCTGTGGCGCCTGCGGGACCTGATGCTGCGCGACACCCTCAACATCCGCCAGGCCTACAACCTGGAGAACGTGTAGGCACAGCCCGGGACAATGGCTGCTCTGCTTGCTGGGTGGCAAGAGATAACCAACAATAATTTGTATTGCATTTTACTGTACATTGCAAGACCATTTTTATATAAGGACACTTTTAATAAGCATATTTCACTTTTTGTTATATTAAGTTGACTTTATCGAATACACAGATTTTTTGCATATGTTTCCTTTGTTTGAAAGGCGATTTCATAATTGGTTGAGTGTAGTCAAGGATTCATCTTTCTTATACTTTATTGCTGAGAATCTGATGCCATTGTTTTTATATAAAAAAAAAAAGGAAAACAAAGTATTTACAGATTGATACAGTGGAATGTGAAGTAGTCATAGTTTACATCCTATGAGAATGTGTGTACCTGTGCTTGTGTGTGCTGGCCACTTCGGGCAGAACCGCTCGGGTGTGAACAGGGAGGATCTCTTAAAAGAAGCTAAAGGTAAGATGTGCTTTGGCACCAAGGAGAATTGGCATTCCAAGTCAACACTGAGGCAGCTGGGTGGGCCACAGCAGCCCTGGGAGTGCTGGTGTGGACAGGACAAGGGTGTCCTGACTGCTCATGTTGTCCAGTCCTGTCCAGTTATTTAACTGTGTAGCCAAGGCCATTGTGGTCCTAAATCAGTAACAAAGCCCCTGTGCTGGCAGGCCCTTAGAGGGGACATGTTTCATCTGCCATGGCCTGTGCTGGGGCTTCTGTGACGTCCCCAACACCCAGCAGTGGGACAGGGAAGCTCCTTCCCTTCCCTGGGAGCTTCTGTCTCTGCTGGAAGAGGCTCACAGAACTCAGAACCAGCCCAGGTCTTGGAAGGTAAGTTAGGGAAGAAAAGTGGAGTTGTTCTGTTAGTAAAGTAATGTGATGTTTTTTGAAATTCACACAATTGGGCATTGTAAGACATTTTTGTATGCTTTCTTTAAGTGTATTCATTAACCTTAGTGAAAGTTTTGCAATGCAAATTGGAGTGAAATTTGATGCTTAAATTAACTTGAAAGTAAAATACTACTGTATGGTATGTGTAAGGTCAGCATACCCAGTACATTGGAGAAATAGAGTACTTGCATTGCAGCCTTCAAAGGGTTTGGGGTTGGGGTTGTTTTGGGGTTTTTTCTTTTTTTTTTTTTTTTTTTTTTTTTTTAAATCTAAGTAAAGTAGGTATTGACTCTTCTTGCCAAATTTCAAGGCTGTGGCTGCCTTCTGCTAAAAACTTACCTGTCCTCAACTAACCAACCTTTTGGACTACAGAGTTATTTGTTTAAAGGTAAATCTTTTCATTTATTTAATTTTGGAAAAAGAATTAATACTTTTGGATTGCTTTAAGTAACTGGGAAAGCTCTATGAATTTGGGAAAAGTCAGCAGGAATGTGGGCACTCCAACTCAGCCCAAATGAAATTATTTACTGATACACTTCATTTATGCCAGAGATGTTCATCATGTGGAAATGAGTTCTAAAGTCTGTTGGTACAGAACATTTTGGTTTAAGTATATTTGGCAGAAGGTTAAATTAAATATTTTCCTTCAAATACTGGATATCTTGGGGTTTGTTTTGCTCATGTAATTAATACTCATGAGGGAAGTGACCTTGCAAGTATAAACTGTGATTTAATTTTACTGGCCAATTCTTCTCCCTCTCCTATTGCAATCTTCCAGTCATTGCACAAAATACCCCAGGTAATTACAAATAGGCACTTAAAGTTAGTTTAGGTCACATGTGCAATGGATGTGAAGGAAATGGAGCAAAACAACATAGAGGGAAATGACAGTTTTGAACTCTACAAATAGCACACCCATGGTACATAAGTTCTTTACTGGCCTTTGTAAATTTCCAATTTTATTTAATAAAGTAGAAATTGAATAGTCTTAGACCACCCCTATGAAATGTGTTTATGTTACTATAGGTTTTGCAGGTTTTAGCCACAAAGATGGGATGTTGAAGTGAATCAGGCAGCAAAATCCTAGTTTTTGAGCATTTGGAACTATCATGGATTGTACTAATACACCACCAGATTCTCCTACTTCTCAGCATTAACAAAAATTACACCAAAGAACCTGGGATGAATTTTAATTAAATTATTGTTTTATTTATTTTCTTTTGAGGACTGGATGGGACTCCCTTTGGAGCCTGTATAACTCAGATGTTTAATTTATCTGAAGGTCAGTGATGAGCAGATGTGCAGCACTGGCTCTCTCCTGCCGAGCAGCTGAATCCCTCCTTTCACTGCTCTTTCTGGCCCAGGAGCAAGAGATTGGAAGTGCAAACAAAACCTGGCTCCTCCCTCAAGGCAGTGCAGAGCACTACCACTAAGCCACTGGGCTGGCCCTGATCAGTTATTTTAAGCCTTATTTATTTCAAAATCGTTTCTCTCTATACTGGAGGCATTTCAGTCGATTGCAGTGAAATTTAGGATATAATGGCTACAGTCTAGAATTCAAAACCAGCAAAAGAAACTTTTCTCACTCTGGTTTAAAAAAAAAAAAGACATGTCTGTCTGTCTCATTTTCTCTCTTTGTGGGTGTTTGAGCCCCTCATCTGTTTTTCACTGCCGTTCATTGTACTGGCGTAAACAAAACTTTCATATTAAAATAAAAGGATGTGTGGGCAATGGTTGGCTTCTGTGAGAGTGGAAAATAGATAAAACCAGGACAGGTATTTTCATAAACCAGTTGGAGACAACTAATAATTATTTGTTCTCTTCCTCAGTCCTTCCCTTCCATGAGAAAATTTACTGTTTGTGTAAAAATTCAAAACGTTGATGTTGGTGACTTTTTTTCAGCATATGTTTTTGTACCTGGTTTATCCATGCTTGGCTTTTCATTAGATCTTGTACTGCTGAAGGCTGAGCTGCTAACCAGGTTTATAACATGTATGTACCATCACTTTGTTTACCTGAGTCTTTTTAATTTGAATAAAAATAGTTTGCAAAGTGTTTTGGATTAACCAGGTTTAAGTGTTCCATTAAGACTTTTGTTAGGATTTTATTTCAAGTAATTCTGGCTGTAGCTGATCCAGATGTTCTCAAGTCCTTGTACATGTGTGCTTGTGTGTGGATAAAATATCCTTTTTCTATTGACCTGTGTATTTTGAGGTATTCCTGTAGGTGATAAGAACAGTGGTGTTGGAAATTGAGCCATCACAAGCATGAACAGTGAACCTTGAAAAATATCTGAAGCATTGGGAACCAGCTGAGTGGAGGTGGTAAGATTCAGTCAGTCCCAGATGCCCCCTTATTAATTGATTTGAAAGTAAACAGCAAGTCTTAATTTCATATGGAAGCTAATGTGGTTCAGGACTGTCTTTCATGTGGCTGTTTAATAGAGGAAATTAGATGAGTAACATGGAAAAAGCATCTTTTACACAATTCAATTAGAACCAAGGATAGAAATTTTCTGTACAAACTTCAAGAAAAATTAAGTGACAGGAACCTCTCCAAGTGCCTGGCATAAAATTTACAGAGTGCTATTTAAACAGTCAGAACACAGCATTACTTAATTAACACACAGCCATGTTTTCAGCCTGGGGGATAAGTGCTGCCTTTCATACAGGCTGCCAGCTTCACAACACTTCTACCCTTCTGTTGCAGTTGCCCAGAGGAAACTAATTCTAATCATCCTCCATTTATTTGCTCAGTCTGAGATACTAAAGATCAACCATAAATGTATGTAGCTCCCTCTTAGCTACAAGTGCACAAAACTGAAGTTTCAGAATGTCTGGGCACTGAACGTTGTGTGAGCTCTGGTTCAGTGAAATTTTGATTCATAAAATGAAACCTTATATTAATTTTGCCAACTGCATTTGCCAGTGAGTCAAATTATACTCATCTTTGGTATAAAGCACCAGCATCCAGTACTGATTTCAGGAAGTTCCTCAGGAACAGCATGCATCCCACCAGTGTTGGAAGATTTTTTTTCCCCTTTCTCTGAAGGAGTTGCGGACAGCCAGGAGCAGAGTGCTGCTGCAGTTTGGATCTGTGTATTAACTCCAAAGTGAAAGCATGCTTCCACTGATGACAGGAACAGTTTTGCACCAAGGAAATATTCCCCAGTACATCAGATGGCTGTTTCTTCCTTTTGCTGCTTTTGAAAAGTTTGGACAAGACTGCTGCAGCCCTGTGCCAGGGAGGAGTGCAGGCTGGCACAAACACCCTTCCTTGACCATAACTTCTTTCAGCTCTTCCCTGGATCACCACAGGTTTTTCAGCAGGTCCTTGTGTGCACAGCTGCAGGGGAATGACAGATCCATTTTTTCCACAGAAGCATTCTGGATTGGTGGTGGAGTTGTCCCCTCTCTAATGCTGGAGTGGTGAGCACCACTGCTTGAGTGTGGGTATCACTGTTCTGAGGTGACTTTTTACTGCTGCTGCCTTACTCAGTTGAATTTTTCCATGCTTGGTGTCAATCTTGCCCTGACTTCCACAGTTTGGAAAGCTTGCAGCAGGATTGCTGTGCTGAGTCTCAGCAAGAAGCTGTTGCCTTTGCAGAACACATGAAATGCTGTTGGTGGGTGTGAGCTGTGCTCCAGGTGGACACAGCTGAATTCCCTGCAGAAGGAAGGGATGTGCTCAGCCCTGGAGCTGGCAGGGCTGGAAGTGAAAGCTGTGACCCTGGCTCACTCCAGCAGCCTGGACAACCTGAGTGCTGAGCCAAAGGAGAGCTCTTGTTTCCTCCCTGTTCCCTTTGCCACAGCAGATGGATGGGGGGAGCTGCAGGATGGGAGGGACAGGGATATGAGAGTCAGAAAGTACTGGGGAAGGCAAAGAGCACAGAGTTAGAAGTCAGCAGGAATAAAACTGCAAAATCAAATGCTTTGGTTGTTGAAGATGGGCTGTAGTTTAAAACTGATACTAAATCCCCGAATGTGCTCGGCTGTGGAATGGGCTGGAATTTTGGAGTGGGGAATTGCAGCTATTCTGATTTCCAGCATTAATGAGAGACTGGCAAAATCTAAAAATGCCAAGGAGTCAGCACTAGCAAACACACTGAGGATTGGAGACTGCAGCTCAGATTTCTAAATGTCAAGCTTCATATTCTGTCACAACAGCTCTGTGTTGCCTGAAGTGGTGCAATGCCAACCCAGAGGATTTTATTCCTGCTGCGGTCGGTGACACGGAACTCCTGACACCAGACGTCTTGTGAGTGACTGCAGCCTCCCTCCCTCTCTGTTCACCTGGCTGGACACATCCCTGAGATCTTCCAGATGTGCCTGGTGCTCTCAGCTGCCAAGGGAAACAGTCACTGCAAAACAAGAGATGTGAAGTGGGAGCTGGGCTTGGCTCACACTGTCTGTGGAGCACTCTGAGTGCTTCAGGGAAGCCTCAGGAAGTTTTCACAGGCTCCTGAGTCCAGAGAAATAACTAGGGCACTGTGCTCTTGCTTGAAAAAAAACCCCATATATTGAAAAACTTACTTGTTTTATGACAGCAGAGCACAAGAGAGTTTCAAAAGGCTCAAGAAATAAAATCAGATGGAGCTAAAGCTCAGGAGTTTTCAAAATCTGGCTTTTTCATTATTGCTTTATTCTTTACTGCTACAGTCAGGGTTGTACTTCAGTGTAATGGTCCGTGACTGCAAAATGAGCTTGTTCACGAGTTTTGGGCTCTACCTTGGAACTAAAGTCAAAGGTTCTTATTATAAATGGAGGTTTTCCTCAAGTGATTCACTTGCTGCTCAGTCGAAATATGCAGTGACACAGTCACATCTTTAATTCTGTCAGCTTTTATCTCTTGAAAACCCAAGAAGCACTAATCCTCCAGATTGAGTCCTTGGAAGGTTCCCTTTTATTTTACAAGTGGAGAACCTGCACCTTGACCTCTACAGAGCTGCCCCTGTCTCTGGTTTGATGAAGGCTTACAAAGGCTGGCAGGAGGAGCACAGGAACCCCCTGTGAGTGCATGAACTCCCTCGGGATTGATTTTAGGCTGATCTTGAGAATTGGTTTCTTTGTTGCACCTTCAGACTGCAGCCCTACCCTGAAAAATTAAATAATTGTATCAAAGCAGGATGCTCGAAGTTACACTGCATCAGTCACGGACCCCACAGCACTCCCCGCCTCCCTGTGCAGGGAGCAAACCCTGCTGGGACACAGCAGCCACCCTGTTCTCCTGCCTTGGGGACAGGATTCCCACCCC